GCGACGGGACGGGCGGTGACGGGGCGGCAGCGGTGGCGCGCGGCGCGAGGCGGGACGCGACGGCGACGGCGACAGCGCGGCAGCGGCGGCACAGGGCGCAAGGCGACGCGACGGGCGGTGACGGGGCGGTAGCGGTGGTGCGCGGCGCGAGGCGGGACGCGACGGCAACGGCGACGGCGACGCGGCAGCGACGGCGACGGCGTGCGGCGGTACGAGGCGCGAGGCGCGACGGCGACGGCCGAGCGGCGCGCGGCGGCAGGCGACAGCGGCACGGCGGCAGGCGGCGATGGCGATGGCTCGGGGCGCGAGGCGCGCATGGCAGGGGAGGGGAAGAGGCTAGGTAACCTCGTCGAACACCTAGAGTGCAATGAACAGTGTCTTTTTCCTATTTATCCCGATTTTAGTTTATTTCCCATATAAATTTGATTCTATAATTTCTAAATCTTGCATAAATGAAGTTTACTCAATATTTGTGTTATCTCAACTAATGAATTCACCCTAGATTATTATTACTCATAATTTATTTGAATTTTTAATTAGGGTTAATTCTTGTTCCATTGCATTTAAATCTAATTAATACAAATATGGCCGCGATGATATTTTATTTATTCCTATCCTTACATAATCTTTATTTTAAATTATAATTTATTTATTTCTTTAACCAAATCTAATTTCAGGGTTAATTCCTAATTAATTTTCCCCTATTTGTGATCGATGAATTCCGAAATCAAAATCCAATAAAATCATCGAATAAAATTGGCATGATGCAATTTATTTAAAAAGTTTTTGAAGGCCCATATTTTTAGAGTTTAGATTTTTGTCGGTCGAATTTTCAGGGTGTTACAAATGGCCTTCCAAACTTCCAAACCTTCGGCGATGACAGCGAACCATGCTTCGGGAACCTCCGGAACAAGAGGAGCTACGCGAAAGCACACTAGCAAACCTAAAACCCTAGAAAGAAGTAATAACAATACATAAAAAGAAAGGCACGGGGTTCTTTAGATTATAACAAAAGTTCTTTAGATTATAAAAAAAATTAAGAAACTTGGACGGGTCAATTCGGAGTTTGTATAACAAGATATGGTTATCCAAAGTTTAATGCTGTTATATGGAGATTTACGGTTGTTGTGATTAATTTTGCAACTATAAAACATGTGTAAGTGCAAGCCTGGAAAAGAAAGGATGGTTGCACCGTTGACATGCAGCGTGCACATGTCAACCTAAGGGACCATGGTGGACCGGGTGCACAGAGACAATCCACGGGTCGACAGAAGCGCACCCCGTGTGTCAACCGAGACGAGTGGCCGACAAACGGACTCCACTAGACACCACGTGGGTTACGCACATGGAAACTACACGGCTACCGAGTGGGCATACTAACACGGTCACCACACGTGCACACGAACAACCGCCGACACCGGTACACGGGTACCGGGGTTGACAACGGCACGACGTGCACAGTGACAAACACCGAGAGGACGAGGAGGGGGAAGCGAGGGGAGGGGTCCTCACCACAAATAGGACGAGAAGCAGAACGACGACGATGAACGGGCACGGCGGAGACGGCTCGGGGTACACCGGCGGCGACAAACAACGACACTTCAGTGGCGACCCTAGGACGAAGGCGAGACGAGGCCGGCGCAACGCTTGATGACGCGAAGCTGAGGACGAAGACGACGATGGGGCAGCAGCACACTTGACGAAACGCAGACGGCGAACGAGCGCGGCTTGACAGAGGGACAAACACCATGATGAGGAGGAAGACGGCCGGGAACAATGATAGAACAACGATGACGACCGGTGGCAGCAGCACGGAGGCGAGGACAGCGTGGAACTAGGGATGCAAGTGAGTAGTCCTGCTACCCGCATAAAAACCCGCTTGCTAGTTCATTTTCCACATGGTAGTATAAATTTTAGAAAAAAATGAACTAGAAATGAGATAAGTGGACTAAAAAAACCCGCTTACCTGTCCCGCTTGCATCCCTACGTGGAACACGCTGCTGCGATGCTGACGGCGGTGGCGGTATAGCGAGACGACGAGCCAACGTAGAGGAACGGCCAAACGAAGGGGACGCTGACAAGGATGAACAGTGACGACGGCGATGAACACCGGCGGGGTTCGGCCGAAAGGGAGGCGAGGCTGAGGACGACCTTGCCCATGCAATGCCTGAGGTGGTGGTGGTTCGGCCGAGCGGCGCACGGGCGAGGAGGAAGGGCCGACCAAAAGAACTCCGGCGAGGCGGATGAAGAGGCCGGTGCGGTTGCCTCCGGGCAAAGGCGGGCAGCGGCCAGAGTGGAGAGCGATGCTGCGGTGTCGGAGGAGGAGACGGCGACGTCAGCCGGTGCTATGGCGCCGCGGCGGGGGCGGCTGGAGGCGGTGCAGTGGCGGCAACGCCACTGGTTGCCGGTGGGGGCGCGCTTACGGTGGTCTCCGCGCAAACGGAGGCGACGTCGGTGGAGGGGAGGCAGGTGCGACGCCGAGGGAGGTGGTGGCGCGGCCAACCGGCGCACTGACGTGGCGGCACGGGCGGCTGGAGGTGGCTGGCGGCACGGAGAGAGAGGAGGGCGGCGGGGAGGTGCCTAGGGACCTCGGGAACTGGCGAACCGGAGAGAGGGGAGGGAGGAGGCTCCGTTTTATAGGGAAAGGAGGGACTGCCGGCCACGGGAGAGGGTGGAAACGGCGTCGGAGGAGGTGAACGGCGGCATCAATGGCGGTCAATGAAAGGGGATTAAATCTCGGCGATTAAGGGCCGGACTGAGGGGGAAAATTTAGGGGAAATAATGAGGAGGGGATGGGGATTCCATTCCCCTAACTAATTTGAATTAATCCGGCTTGAATGGATCTGATTTGGGGGAAGAAATTGGCGCTAGGGTTCCGGGGAGAGAGAGACGAGCCGGCCGGCTGGAGGTGGAGACGCGCCTGACAGGCGGGTCCCACGTGGGGCGCGCGTGAGGGCGCCGCCGCGCGGGGGAGCGCGGCTTGGGCCGGGAGGCGGCCCAGGTGGGATGGGGCGGGGAGACTTGGGCCGGGGCAGGCCGGGAGGAGAAGAGGGGCAGTGGCCGGCCTGGAAGGAGGGAAAAGGAGGAAGGAAGAAGAGGGAGAGGAGTAGGACTTTCGGCCGCGGGCCGAGGGGAGAGAGGAAGACTTTGGGCCCAAAGGAAAGGAAGACTAATTTTTAGTTTTTCTTTTTAATAAACTGTGACAATTGTTTTTTTTTGCTTAATAAATATTTTCGGTGCTTTGAAAATTCATGTAAAATTTGAGGGATCCTTTTAAACCAAGGAGAATTTAAGAAAAATACGCTGGGGCACATTCAATTTTTTTTCTTGTATGCATTTTAATGTTTGCCAATTTTTTTTTTCAAATTTTAATTAATTATATTATTCCTTTTGGAGAATGATTTTTAATTCGGGATGAATTTATCAGGACGTGACAAATCCTCCCCCATTACAAGAATCTCACCCCCGAGATTCGAGAAGGCTACAATAAGATAGGTAGGGCGGTCTTCTCTTCTTTGTCCGGCTTCTTCTGTTGTATCTTCTTTAGCAAACTTGTCCAGCAAAACTACCCAACTCTGAACTGCTTGGTTTGGTCTCTCGGTGCAGACGAAATATTCTCTTCGCCTGATCTTGAACCTGGTTGCACCTTTAGCTGATCTAGACTGGGTTGCGGTACTTGTAGATGAGGCAACCTAATAGTTGTGGCATAGAAGGGTGCTACCTAAGGTGATGTTTGAATCTCCCGAAGATGAAGATAAAAATGAAGATTAAGTGTAACGAGGTGATAATAACGTGTGATTAATTAAGTTTTAATTATTACAAACTTGAAAAATAAATTAATCTTATATTTTAGAACAACTTTCATATAGAAAGTTTTCGCACGAAACGTACTGTTTAGCAGTTTAAAAAGCGTGCCACTTTAATCTAAAATTTTATCCACCCATTTCAGTACATTCGAACGGGCCCCTTAACACACTTAAAAAACTATTTTTTTGAATACTTTCTATCTAAAGTTTATTTAAAATAAATAAATAAATCTATTTTTTTAAGTTTGCAATAGTATAGTGCATCGTCGAGTCCTTAAACTTGTACGATCGTGCTATTTAAGTCCCTAAATACTACAATATATATTCAAGTTTGAACTTATCAAAGTATGCCATTCTGGTTCCAAACCACCATGGCCTCTCCGAGATCCAACCTAGCGACGACGTGACATCATCACTACTCTACACTCAAGTAGAGCCTCGATGTCCACATGAAGAAGAGGAGAAAAGGAAATGAAAAGGAAAAAGGATAATAACAAAATTTCTGAACAGACCCTACTTGTTAGTCATCGTAACATCGGTGAATATGCCATGTCAGCATTCGTCTAACGTGCCATGATAACGCCATTTAGGATCTCGAATAGACCATGACAATTTTGAGACCGGAATAACGTACTTTGGCAAGTTCTAGACATAAACATATATCTTGAGAGTTTAAACATCTAGATTATACGGTTGTATAAATTTAGGGACCAATCCAATACTTTACTCTCTAATTAATTATGCGCAACCTAGGCATATATTAACCTCTCTAAACCGCGTAGGATCGCTGAAAATTTAGAGCATCACATCAGCCATTGTTTTGCAAAAAAAAATCCTGTATCTCAAGTTAATTATGTATCGATCCTCGCTACCCTTCACCGATCCTGGGATAGGATCGATCTGACCGTACAGGTGTCCTGTTCTACCTAGCCATATATTAAAACAAGGAGAGCGGTTGAGAACAAGCACTTCCGAACGCAGCCTTAAAATGATTTTCACTTCAAAATGTAAATCTTTTTTTCTGTTACAGTTATGCACCACCCGGAATTGTGAACGCGTTGTTGAACAACTCTGGCCATCACGTGCCTTGGGCAGAACAAGTACGCTCCTGATGAAGACCCGGAGCCCCCTCTCTCACTCTGATGAAGACGAAGGTCCAAGGCCGCGGATAAAGACAAGACCGGAAGCCGCGGCAACCCACCCTCTGCAAAATCCCCAAAATACCCCTACAAAACCCCACACCGAAAGCAGCAAAACCCACCTGCCCACTGCTCCTCCACTCCCACCACCACCGCCACCGCCGGCGAGATGGCCGGAGCGAGACCCTTCTTCTCGCCGCACGAAGCCTTCGCCCGAGCCTCGACGGCCTCCTCACCCGCGGCCGCCGCGACCGTCGCCGTCGCGGCACCTGCTCCGGACCCAAGCCCCGCCACCGGCCACGCCGATGCTGCCGAGGTCGCCGTCTTCCGCCTGCTCCTCCCCCAGGCCTTCTCCGATGCCGACGCCATGCGCCTCTACGCCGCCATCGCCCCGCTCCGCCGCCTCTTCCCCACGCTGCAGGTCCGCGTCGAGACCCTCGGAGTCGGAGCCTCGTCCGATGATGCCGACGGCGACGGCGACGGCGGAGGTGGTGGTGGTGGTGGTCGCGTCGCCGTCGTCCTCGGCCCCGCCTCCCCGGCGCGCCGCGTCGAGGCCTCCTCGTCCTCCGGGGAGCCCCTCGAGCTCTCCCCCGCGCAGGAGGCCCTCGTCGCCTTGCTCGACAGCGGCTGGGTCGTCCACCTCAACGGCGAGGCGTGGGGAGCGGAGCGGATGACGTGCCTCGTCCTGGTCGAGGCCGGGCGCCTCGAGGCGGCCTCCGGGAAGGGGATCCTGTGGACGATCGCCAACGAGTCCGGCGCCGAGGTGCGCGTCACGCCGTGGGGTGGTGAGGGCGGGGCGGCGTACGCGGCGCAGCCGCCCGAGGAGGTCGTCGAGGTATACCACTCTCACTGCGCGTAATGCCCCCTGTTGCTTCGATTGTTATCATACACTGTTGCAAAATTGAACCTACGTTGGTTTCTGCGGCAATTGGGCAAGTAGAGATTAAACAATGTGTGGGCGTGCTTGTTTACGTCAAGGGCTTAGGGGGAATTTGGAAGATAGCGAGTGCAGCATGTTCTACAGGTGCCATTTCAGGGTGAAAACGCAAAAGGATGACACTTTTTTAGGGGAGGATGAGCAGCTGCATACTGTGGAGCCTGAACAATCATGTGGAGACATGCATGATGATTTATTTGTGTAATGTTTAGGGCACTCTCATGAATGCATTCTAAGCAAGAGCTTGGCACACTTAGCAATGCTTGGCATGTGATGTGCATGTTCCTTATGTGATATCCCCATCTGTGAAAAAGTATGTTCGAGTATTTCCCTAGTGCACTGTTTACTGTCTTGAACTCAATCCTTTTTTGAGTTCTTGTTTCATGCGTATGCTTTGGATTTATTGTGATATAGGACGGTGAAGTTTGACAAGAGTCCATTTCTGTTTTTGTTTCAACAGCTGTATGGAATATATGAAATAATTAACTTATTAAAGGATTGTGTGTGGATAGGTTATCTACACAACTGATAAACCATATGCTTCACAAACACGCTCATCCATGTCTCATGGTCTCATCTGTGAACCACTTCAGCAGTGACTTTATCTAAGTGGCTTCTGATTCCTTATTTGTGATCTGACTGGTGAAGTAGAGTATAAAATTATTGATGTGCGTTATCAGTAAGTCCAAAATGAATAATAAGGACCTTTTTTTATTTTATCATGTTCTAATTAATATTTACTGAACTGCTGTTAATGGAAGTCATGTAAATCATTCGACTAATTTTTTTGATGAGTGAACTGCGTACTGGAGACGGTTAAGAAGTAACAAACAAAAATGTTGCTAGGGATTAACTGTCTTTTCCCTGTTCTATGTATTTTAAAAAATAGGTTATTTTTACCTCCTTTGTGTACTGACAAAATTTTATGTTGTTTATGTTAATCTACAGTTATAATTCATTGCTTCTTGATGTAACTTCAGATAACAGGAGATGGAACCACTGTAAGGAGAGCTCTTGTTTCTGTGTCTAGCTGTCTTCAAGGTGATGGGCCACTTGGCAGCTCAACTTCTGCTCATTCAGTGAACCCAATTCTCACACAAACATTTCCAAAAGTGCCTGAGCCTGAAATGGGATCTTTGTATTCAGATATGTCAACTGAGCGTGCAAACACCAGCATTCCTCATATTGATTGTCCACAGGGTGCTACAGGAATTGAACAAACTGAATGTGTCATGCAATTTTCATTTAGACTACTCTGCCCTGTAACTCTTGCTGGAGGTTTGATAGGAAAGAATGGCATGGTTATCAAAGCAATTGAAGTTAACTCTGGTGCTTCTGTTGATGTCGGTGGACCTGTTCATCGGTGCATGGAACGTGCGATAACAGTATCAGCCTTGGAGGTTTGAACATTTCCCCATAAATGTTTTTATGCACCATGTTTCATTGCGTGATGTACATAGCATAATTTTGCAGCTTTTATGATGGATGTTTAATGTAGAAACTCTTTTGATTTTATATTAATTCTTGTGAGCTTTGTTGTGCATTTGATTCATTATAACTATGGTTTCTTTTCACTCATGTAGAAACCAGGACAGAAATTCTCCATGGTGGAGAATGCGGTACTTCGTATATTTGACAGAATGCAGGTGGTGGAAAGCAATATGCATTCGAGACCCAATAATCCATTGCATTGCTCTGCCAGGGTTCTAATTCTGAAAGGCCAATTTGGTTATTTAGTTGGTCCAGGTGGTTCACTAATCAAGCATATGAATAACACAACAAGAACAAAAATGAAAATTTTAGAAGAGACTGCTGTTCCAGCTTGTGCCTCACAATACGAACTAGTTCTGCAGGCAAGCACTTTTCTGGTATAATACAAAACAGTTTTTGTTGTACTTGTTTCTGCTTTCATGCTAAGTAGAGATGTGAGAAGACGGTGACAGTATTTAGGGTTAACCTGATGCATCTAATCTTAACCATCTGATCCTCTTAATTTTTGTTCAAAGAGTACTCAATGCATAGAGGCATAGACTCAGTAGTTCGCTTCAATTTTTCACTTCTACTTCTCTTAATTCATGATCGGTTGATTTCTGATCCTTACACTCTTACTATGTTTTGACAGCTCAATACTTATTTAGTTTGGTATTTTCTTTTCTCTACAGATCACTGGAGAGCCAATGAATGTTAGAGACGCTTTATCTCTTGTTTGTGAGAAACTACGTAATCATTGCTTCTCTTCTGAGAAAACAACCTACGGCAATGGTCATGTTCCCTCATCGGCTATTGATGAATTAACTACAAGCAGCCAGGTTAATATCTCTTCAACTGGTCAATATTCAGCTGGCAATTTGTCAAGGGTTGATCACAGGCTTTCTCAGAATGAAATTGACTCGGTACAAAACTCTATCAGCGCCTTCGACTTGGGATGTTTGGGCTCCCCACAAATTCAGGTTATGTATTACATACCTTTTCCTTGTTATACATGCTAAAGTTTCTCTTCCTTCCTGGATTTGTGTACGATACATGCATATTATGTTCTAAATGTTTAAAGAGCAAAACTAAATCAGATGTTGTACAAGAAAGTTACATATTACTAACCTATCAAAAACTAATTTGATATTATGCATTTGGTAAAGTTGCAAGGATCATTGTAGTGGTCTGGAATGCCTGTGTGAAGTGTTTCTACTTCTGTTGAATTCTTATATTATCAAATTTACATAATTTCTATCTTTTGCTGCTGTGACTGTGAGCAACATAAGTTGCAGTAAAGAGATCCCTGGCTGTGTTCTTTTGGCTGTGTTGGGAACAAATCTCCTGTGCACGGAAAACAAAGTGATCCATTAGCGTGTGATTAATTAATTATCTATTATTTTTTTTGAAAATGGATCAATATGATTTTTTAAAGCAACTACCGTACAGAAAAGTTTTGCAAAAAAACACACCATTTAGCAGTTTGAAAAGCGCGTGCGCGGAAAACGAGAGAGGTGAGTTGGGAAAGTTGGGGAAAGAACTCAGCCAAAACTGGATATTTAAGATATCTGTCATTTTTTTACTGCAAGTGCAAACCAAGTCCTAGCCTAGGTGCTAATCAAACTTATCCTCTGCTAATGTTTTGCTCATTATAAAACTGTCATATATTTGAGTCATTCTTTTATAGAGGACGAGTGTTTGGAAATTTTAGTTTCACTCAGAGCTCACTGCTAAATAGATCGCATAGAGCACTCATGCAAATATTTGCAAAGTGACTAGTACCTTTTATTGCTGAATAGGACACAATGAAATATTTTTGTCCAATTATGTATCCTCCTGTCACTTTGCAGCCTATTATAAATTTTGATGCACGGTTTTTCTGTGGAAGTACTAAACAAATATTTGGATGCAGAAACCTACCATTGGGTGTGGCACTGAGATCAACAACCCAATTAATGAGGTGGAGAAACCAGCTAATGGAAATGGCACTGGAATTAACAATTTGAATACTGGGATGCAGAATGAAAATGGAATTGACGTTTCAAATCATGGAGCTACATCTCTGGAGGAAAAAAAACTTTTGAGGTAATAGTCATATTTGTTTGTAACCCATTTCTACCCTTGTCCCTTTAGAAGTGGTCATTGCGTAAGATTATTTTATAACAGATCCTGTCTATGGCACTTCAATTTTTTTCTTGTATGTCAAATCACAAAAACCAATATCGTCTTGGGTTCTTATTCCATTTTAGCATAATTGTCAGCTATTTAGTATCATAGATCTTTCTATTTAGAGCCCAAGACGCTACTAGCACCCTGCCATTTACGTGAGGGATGCACTTTACTGCTTAGAATGTTGTATGTACAGTCACAGGAATGCATTTAGGGTTGCTGGATGCATGTACTACTTCATGGGTAATGTGTTTACAGTCTCAAGCGCAGGCCTGGATTATCAGCAAACTCACTGTTTATCCAGAAATTAATGCTTAGAGCAGCACCAAACTGTTGTATTCAAATTTGGTCTTATATTAATAGTTTGTACTATTTTATTATGTCTTGTTCTTCAAGTCCTGTACAGGAAACATCCCATGGCAAACTTCAAACAGAATATCTATTTTGGTCCAATGGAAAACAATGAATAGCAACAAGTATTGCTGTGCACGATTAATCTTCTGTGCTCTAGCACCCTTGTAGTTGTGATTGAACTTTAGCAATTCAATGTATTATATATGCGTCACACAAGTGGTTCCACCAGTTATGTGCCTAATACTATATATTTTTATAATATTTTGTTCTTGATGAAGTAATGAATTTGCAATTGGTACTGTACATGTTTTGAATATAGCATGCATGTCTTAGTTAATAACTAGAAGGGATCAACAAAGGGCAAATAACATCAGCTGTATAAACTTCCATTCCTATATGTCACATTCCTTTGGTTATTTTACATAATGGTTTGTGCATTTATTGATGCTATGCTTTAGTGACCTGTAAATGGCACTAACTACAATTACAATGATTTCTGCTTCTGGCCACAGAGGAATCAAGACTGCCACCATAACTAGGATCACATATGAGGTTGCTGTTTGCGGAGATAATGGAAACGACTTCACTATGATTAGAGAGGTATTAACGGAGAATTATGTGATCGTGTATGCTTATTTTGATTGCCTTTGAGAATTTACTTCAAATAAATGCTGGTGTTTCTGAGTTTTATTTTTTTAAAAAAAATTGATTAAATGCTTCCTGGATTGGGAAAAAGAAACTGGTTAAGTCATTACGTTTTGAACTCAGAACTGACCTTGCTGATCATGTGTGTTTTCAAAATGCTGTACTGGTCTGGTTTAGTAAAGACACCTAGTTCTTCATTCTAGACCATTTAAATGGTGTGCAGCTTTAGGTGTTCCTTGATTTGGAAAATCTGAAGAAATTTACATTTCCAGCCTCTACATCTATGATGCATTGATGCATATGATGTACGTAGCCATTAAGTTTGAGATTAAACAAGGGACAGAACCTCCCAAGAGATTAAATAAGCAAAACACGAGATTAAATTTACACTGTTAGGGCCTGTTTGATATGGATGAAAGGCGCTCTACCATGATGATTAAATATTGTATATTATAAACCTAACAAATACTAGCTTAAAACAAGTGGTGTAAACAATGCTGATGTAGAAAGTTTTTGGAGATATCATACTTTTGGAAGCATACCACGAATAATTGCAACCATTAATCTAAGCATGAAGCCTGTTACTAGCTTGTTGTCCAAAGAGGGTGAATAAGCCCCTAGAGGATGACGATAGACTGTTGTCCAAAGAGGGTGAATAAGCCCCTAGAGGATGACGATAGACTCTAAGAGTGTGGCTGCGATAAGCATAATATTTTTGTTCTCTTTGATACTGCCTCGAACACCATACACAGAGCTAGCTGATATTACTAGGAAAGTATTTACTTCAATTATCCTTTGTGTTTTTGCCAGTTCTATTTTTCTGTGTTTCTATCCCAACTCTTTCATTATATGTCCGCGCAATCTTTTTTCTTTTTGGACCAGTAAGTTCAAAATTTATTGATTGCCTTCGAAGTTACATTGCTGATTTTCTACTCTGATTGGTATTGAACTTTATGGAGCTAATCTACCATTTTTTATTTTGTGAATACTCAGATGTCTGGTGCAGACGTTACTGCCCACTACCCGCTTCCAGAGACGAGTGACGGTATGATCGTGATATCTGGAACGCCAGATGAGGCGCAATCGGCTCTGGCCATGTTCCTTGACCTTGTCAAAGAGGGGCAGTGATCATCATCAGATCTTCATGCATTAGCCCTGATTCTGCTAACATAGATCACTGTTGGGATGGATCTGCTAACATTTTGCTGACACCACGAGATGTTCTTGAGGTTAACTGACAACATTTTATGTGTAACTATGTCCAGTAACGACACCACGAGACTAGGGTTCATCACGGGACACCACGAGGCAGACGCATTCCTCTGTTTGCTGAATGTAGCAGCAGAGCAGGCGCGTGATTTATTTATGTTTCTTTTTCTTTTTACTTAATCCTTTTGTGCTCTTGCTGCTGGGGGAGGCCTTAATTGAGATGGATATCTGCCTATTTTTTTGCATGCCATTTTTCCCTTGTTGACGGTGTTGAGTTTTGTCGCGCCCGTCCAGGCTGGGGTATTACAGTTGGTAACTTGATGGTGAGTTATGTAGTAGCACACGGGGGTATTACAACCTTTTGCCTGGATCTTTCGGAAGATCGGAGTAAGGGTAATATTTGGAGGTTGGAGCAATGAGCAATCCATCGATACATCGCAGGCTAAGGGGTTCGGGTCGATTACCTGCTTAGAGAATCAAATTACCCCTAGCTAAGCGGCATGAAAATTATTCAGCCTCTTGTGCTCGAGCGTTTGTCCTGCAAACGGTGAGTGAAAGATATCACGAAATCTTTCATAATTATATCATCGAGTATTTAATTATGGTGATATGTGATGGTATCACCAAGGTATCAGGGCACCTCATGACATCCCATGGAATCATGAATTCATGATAACACAAAAAAAATATGATGGGAGAATTCTCCTTTGCCACTCATTGCAATTGTACTCTCTTCCTCATCCAAATCTTTCCTTCCGTTTCTTTACCTTTATTTTGTTAGTGTGCTCTTTTGTTTTGCCATGGCTGTTAGGTCAATAGTAATTCGATCTTTAACTTAATTCTTAAAAGACCATTATGTCCTCCTAGTCCTTGTAGATGTTCAGTAGCACTTGAATTTTAGCAAACACCAAGAAAAGGCCAAGAAATCCAAATATCGGCCACTACAAAAAGATTATTAGAAAATATATAAAAATGGGCATTACGACGTAATTATTTTTATCCTAAAATATAGCAACCTAGTCCTGTATTGAACACAACCTAGTTGACGAGTTGTTCTGTGTCTGCCTACCACCACGCCATCATCGCCATGGGAACACTGGCTGCTGCCCAAACGCCCCTCTGCATGAGGGTGCCCATGCACACCCCCTCACTACCACATAAACTACCACATAAACAGATATTATTGTCGGCTCATCACTGTTGGTTTTATGATAAGTGGATGCCAGATCAAAAGATTAATTTTTGGAAATGAACTGGAAGTGATGCTAGTATCCCTACCAATTCAACTTTCAATGTCAGTTCATCACATTAATCGGTAGTGATAAGTGACCGTTACATCTAAATTAAAGGGTTAGGATTCACTGCTCTAATTTATATAAATTGGACAAATTGCCAGTCTCACTGTTCCATCCTCCTCTCTCCCCTCTCATCACTCCTCTCACCCTCATATCCCCTCCCGTCACTCCTCTCCCCCCTGATTTGGTCGGCGGCACCCGCCAACTCCCATCGTGCCACCCACTGCCATCCCCTCTATCAGAGAAATGAGAACTAGGGTTCCCACTTCCTCGGCTGCTCGAGGTACTGCGGAGTAGTTAACGTTAAAATTTGGTACGGTTCTTTAGTGAATTCAGTTAAGGAAAGAAGTCCTTAATCAAGATTGAAGTAGATGGAAATTAATCGAGATCAAGCTGAATTCAAAGATGACTCGTGAAGACCACGACAAGTCAGTTTCATATTTAGTATATCTCTTAATAGGCAGGTTAAATTATTTTCCTTTTCTTGCTAGGAGTCATATCTCGTGTCCGATCATAACTTGTATCAACCCGAGGGTATACTATGTACAACCAGGGTCTTTGTAAACTATCTCCATAGATCAATACAATTACTTTTGGCGCATTGCCACCTTTTACTCTCAACGAGTTCTTAGTTTCGAGTTGGACTACATCTGTTTCGATCTCCTGCGATGAAGTAAGTTTCGTCAAATTCGCTTGTATCGGCATGTTTAGAACTTTTTCGGTTAAGTCCGATATTCTATTCAGGTTGACGCAAGCGTTGCCTATATCATATATTGATTCTATCTTTAATTGTACCATTGTTTAGAGTCGTATCGGCTTAGATAGAACTTTCTCAGTTAGGTTCGATATTCTGATTAAGTTGGTATTTCTCTAAATCGTACTACTATTTTAAATACACTTATTATATCCTTTACATTTGTGTGGATCTATCGGCTAAATAGTTTTTTCTTATTATCTTCAATCTTATACTGTGTCAGTTAGATCCGATCTATTAGATTGCTATTAAAAGTTTATTTCTAGTAAGCCGATATATTTTTATGCAATGTTCAATGAGTTATCTTGTTACTTTCTCTAAGTGTTCTATTGTCTTATACTCAAATTTGTATAGTCACTAGTTAAACATCTCTATATCAACTTTAATCTTATTCTGTCTCGGTTAGGTCCAATCTATCAAGATTGTCTTTGATAAAGAATAAATTACTAATAATTATGCATTTTTTAATTCAAGCCGATGATAACATGAATCTCCATCGAGCCTATAGCCGATTGATCAAAACCTTGTTGAGCTGGCCTTGCTACATCACATTAGCCTATTGGCCGATCGGCTCTTGGTTCTTATACTGTCAATCCATCTATCTTGTTAGTTGCAGGATCAAACTAACTAGTATGTCTTAAACCCAATTGATTGAACCTACACTATAAACCCAATTGATTGAACCTACACTGAAGCTAAAAACATCTCTCGGGCTTTCATGTGTGGCGACGTAATTGCATGTCAACAGGAGTTCACCAACAGCCACTACAGACTTTTGTGGGGGCCCAGGAAAACTGCGTCGAGACAAGCAAGGTGACTGAGGACGTTTCAGCTCGGGCCCGAGTCGCCATCTGCTCGGGGCCATGACGGCTGCTTCAACTGCTGCAAGTGGGCCACATTCCTCTTTACTGTTGCATCAAGATTACATCTTGGCAACGGATTATGGCCTTTGGCCGTTGCAGTATTACCCCGTCTATACACCCAACCAGATATGTGTGGTCATTTAAATTGGGAACTTAGCCCTATAAATAATCTAATCTGAAATTCACTCTTATGAAGATTTGCACTCAGGATTTTGAGATACTACTAAGGTCACTGCAATCACTAGACTACATGCCCTTTCGCAAAATTGTGATTTACGCCTGGGGTAGTCATGCATGATCATTTGATTTATCAGCTCTCTTTTTTTTACATGGCCCTTTTCCCTTGCTGATAATGTTTATTGAGTTGTCTTGTGTTGCCATACAGGGGGTTTTCCCAAATTTACATGGATATTATTCTTTGAGAAGGTCAGTTTGGTTTCACTTACATAATAGAGAGTCCAGCTCAGAGTTTGGACGAATACATCCAAAAGATCACTAACAGAGGGTATTTTCAGGAAGTTTAATTAGTTGAGGGGATGCGGTTACTTCTCACACGCATTGTCCGCTCTCAACATTGTGAAATGCATTTCGAAGCTAACCCACATGAAGGATGAAAATGCTTTCTATTGTGTGGGCTATCTACCAACACATCACATATATTTAGGAAAAATTCTATATACACCCCTAAATATTAGATTGAAGTCCGTACACAGGGGCGAAGCTACATTGATGAGGGGGTTCCTAGGCACCTGGTTCAGAAAAACTTTTAACCTGTAATTAGCCCACACTCACCATAAGTGCACCCACCTCGGAACAATAGTGTGTACCCTTTCACAAAATAATCAGCCAAGCAAGACAACAAGCAAGTAGCCAACACAAGCGTATATGCTCACAGACGTAGCCATAACAAATGTCGCCGCCACCGCATGTGTTGATCAAATCACAGGGGGGCCATGCGTGATGCCCAGCAGCCAACCTCATCAAGCCTATACCTTAATTACCTCATCAAATCTTTTTTGTCACTGAACATACTAACCAATATTATCATTTGGGTTTTCCGTTTTGGTAAGCACTTTCATCGCTAGAATTTTATTTCCTACATCACTCTTCTTGCTTATGTGAAACTATCGATGCTAAAAAATAATACTGTGCTGGTATTGTTATAGTGTTGTATGTTGTATATATAATAAAAACATACACCCTCCGTCCCATACAAAGCACTGGTTTAGTTCCAAAATTTTTCTTGAAACTTCCAACTTTTTCATCACATCAAAACTTTTCTATACACACAAACTTCCAACTTTTCCTTCGCATCGTTCCAATTTCAACCAAACTTTTAATTTTAGCGTGAACTAAACACACCTAAAACAAAGTTCTAGCCAGTAAGCTAGACATACCCTATATCTAAATTCGTAGTCAGAAGTTGATTTTTTTAAAGAATAAAGCAAGTATACCACTAAAAATAGTGGTGCACCCCCCTCCATTTTGCGCTGGCTTCACCACTGTCCGTACAGTACCCTAAACTTTAAAACCAGAGATTTAACCCCCCACCCCCCACCCCCCCCCCCCAAAAAAACATTGCAATGCCATTTATATTACCCCATTAGATACTTTCGGATGATGGTTTTGTGCAATTGAAAGCTTAAAAGAGCAGTTTTAAATAGCTAGTTTATCGTATTTTACGTATCATTGATCACCGGTCATCAATTTATATTCTCCCATGATGTCATATTAATATTATATCGACATCGTTTGTAAATGAGAGCTAAAAATATTAGGTAAAAAAAAGGTTTAGGTGGAGATTTTATTATATATGTCAATACATATGTCATATCGATAAACTCATCCGACGTATATGCAAATTAGATAAAAACCACTTTTTCCTAAGAATCGTTAAGCCAAATAAGAAATGAAGATAGACATATCATTCATAATATTCATAATATTGTTGTTTGGTACCATGGCATATTCCAGGCGCACAAGGTACGTACCAAAGTTTATGGCAAATCCTTAAATTAGTCCATCATAATAAAAATTCCTAACCCGCTATAGAATTCCTAACAACAAAGAAAGCAAGAAGTCCAACCCCTGACAAAGAGTACATCAGTGCAAATTTGCTTGTGCTGCGTTCTGAAACCTAAAGATCATCCCATTAACATGGAATCGTCGCGCCGTGTTTGGGGTACTGTACAAGTAAAGTCTAGCTGATGCGCTAGGACAAATTTGATTTGCTGTTCAAAATAAAGAAAAAACGAGTTAATTTTAGCTTTGCCAAACACTAGTTAGATCGCCGTCGAGCCCACTCAATGGCCAATAGGATCCGCATTTTGGGGAGACCCTCATTCACATCCTCCTTGTCTATCACCTGATTCTAAAATGAACTTGTCACATCATTTCGCTTATTCGCGAGTAAGCGAAACGGTATATTTGTAAACGAAAAGTAATTTATGAATAAAACTTTTATATACGTGTTCTTAGTGATCTAGCAACAAAGGCTGAAAAATAAACTTCGATGAAAAAACCTCAAAATCACCTCCAAATTTAAGGTTAAAAATTTAATTTTTAGCTGATAAGCATAATGATGAGCGAAAAGATGAGGTCCGATTCTTTTAGTGAACCAGTTTGCTGACAATATGATTGAATACAAGATACCAAATGAATTTTCCAATAAAAGATAACACAGTAGTGTATTTGTTTTTCTTGTTACCCGGCCGTGACATCAGTATCGCCACTACGAGGTAAAAGCTTAATAAGGTCATGTTGACTTCGAATTAAATTTAGAAATATACTGTTCATTCATTTTATTTTTAGAAATATTCGGAATTTAAAACTTTTTAAAAAATATACCGTCGATCTCGCACAACCATTACGCGAAAGTGACGTGGACGTGATATCATGGGCGGTATCACGCTGGGAAAGAGCGAGACCGCGCGGTCTCGCGAAATGGAAGAGCGAGACCGTTCGGTCTCGCTTAACCAATCAACGATACCGGATTTCAAAATGGTTGATTAGTGATTAATTACCATAATTAATGATTAATTAATTATTAATTAATCGCTAATTATTATTAGTTAAATAATTAATTAGGTCGTTAGTCACTAACCTAATGCAGTTTAGGACGGTGTCGCTCTCTGCTTGAGCGAGACCGCTCGTCCTTCCCGCGCTCTCGCCCCGTCGCCGCGCGAGACCGTGCGGTCTCACGCCCTAGCAGCGCGAGTCCGCGGGGTCTTACGCTTTCTCCGCGCGATACCGTCCTCAACGTCACCTCTGCGTCATTTTCGCTCAACGGTAGAGCGAGATCGATGGTATATTTCTACAATAAAATTTACATCCCGAATATTTTTGAAAATAAATTGAATAAATAATATATTTTCAAATTTAATTATGTTGACTTCAAACTTACCTGGGTATAGACTTCAAACTTGTCCTCTTTTAAGGCTGCCTTAGTTCTGGAAAAAAAAAGAGGCTGCCTTCTAATTTTGTGAAGAACCTGACGATTCTCAAATTGATGAACTCGGCACAATGTTTTGAAAAGTTGAAGCAAAAACAGTCAAAGTGGAACAAGCCAAACCTTCAGATAATTCTGTATCGAACAGTTTCGTAATTTTGAAAAAAAAAACTAAAAATGAAAAAGAAGAGAATATGTATTTTCGTTGAGTTAGATTATAATGAATTGAGATGCATATGTGGTTAAACCTCACACGCTTAAATGCATTTCGAAACTGACGCAGCTGAAGAATAAAAATGCATGCTACCTGCCAACACTCCACATGCATTATATATGTTTACTTTTTGGATGGTTGCAAACATATAAACTTGTTGGTGGCATGAAACAGCAAAGACAAGAAAATTAATTCTCTGATGCGAGGAAGGTTAGGAGTGCGTATCAGATTTAACAATAGACATATATGGTTGATTCAGTTCTTACATACCTAAGATTGGTAACATTCAGAGGGTATAGATAGCAGATTGACATTTTCTTTAGTGAAGATTTGTTTTGCAATGTGAGTTGAATGGTAACTGCACAGAAAATTATCACCTAATCTTAGTAAATTTGGCTAACACCCCAAATAGTTACACTATAAACCAATAAAAATTACATCCAATTATAACATGTAATTTTAGTGACAACGGGTTTAATTTGCTCACACTCTCAATGGAAATTCCATGAGAGCACACAAATCAAGAAGAGAAAAAGACTGGTGTCTGCACATAGTACTGCAGTTTTTATTAAGAAGCAATCAATTTTCCACCATGATGTGTATAGCATGCATCTTAACCGAATAACTTTTTTTTAATTTGAGGCAGTTGAATAGCAAACTAAAAAGCATTCATTTATGATTAAAGAAAGCATATGATAATATTTATTTATTTATTAATTGAAATAAATCTTGTATGAGAGTACAAATAAGGTAGACAACCCTACCATTTGAGCAAAGTGTAGCAAATAAACCTAATAGGGAGTGAGGATAAAAAAGACATCCATCTACAAATTAGGTGTTCACTAACTTTAATTTGTTATTGGAAATACAATGGTAATAAGAACAATAGATACAAGGGTAAATTGAATCTATACCATTGCAAATTTACCATATTAGATAAATGCTATTACCATTCGCGATATCGGTTGCGTGCCACTAAAATTTTGTAAAATTTTAATCATACCACTACCATCCAATTTTGTATCATCGCCATCTATTTCTATCCGTTCTCTCCTTTCTCTATCGACATTACGGCGCACGTTGTGCGCCCTATCGATGAGCAGATAGCACAACGATAAAAAAAAGCTCTCAGACAAACCAAATGATCCGAGGCAAGTTCTATCGAGATTAGATAAATCGATGTAACGAAGCAATGGGAGATAGACATAACCTGCGATTTTCTATCATAGAATGATAAAAACAAAAGATAATGAGAGGGAAACTCATAAACAAATTATCTTATATTTCACTGAACAACATTACACAGGGCACACTGGCAAGATGACCAGTAATTATCAACAGCCAAATATACAGAGATTGAACCGTCACACTGGATGGCCTCTTTTATTTATTCATCACTTCATCCCAGATAGGCACGTTGGTGCTTGCTACAGTCAATAATCTCTTAACATTAGCAGTTGCACCGGTTGCACTTGTAGCAGGAGACATGGGCAACATCATAGGAGCCAGCAGCCACCTCCAACGCTGCTTCGCCGTGCCTGCAAAATTAAGCAGACAAATTCAGGCCTAGAAAAAATGTTATCTGATTCATAAGTTTCTTCAGCTCAGTTTCTTTTTAAGATGAAATATATGCGAATTATCCCTTTTCAGGTGCAACAAAGGAACATGTTAGCTGAGGTGGTTGTGGTGTTCTTCTCCACCAGATCAGTGTACTGTGTACATCTTCCTGAACCAATAAAAAAAGCATGGCATAAATAAATGTAAAGTAACCGATAGTACTGAATAAAATGTCTTTTCATCTTCATGCAGCTTTATCTGAAGAAACTTTGAAGCAAAGGGAATTAACACACAACATATAGTATATCTTTGAAGCAATGGAAATAACATTATTTTTTATCATGGAAAATATGAAATCACACATCTCTGAAAGCTTGTGTCAGTTTATTTTGACAAATCAATATCTAAAAGGCTTACCCGCAGCCATTGCCACAGTTGAACAAAAAGATGGATCAGCAGACTACTCACTGAGGTGATTACAGCAAAGTTATAGGCACACATATACTACCTGTGTAGAAGCTGGATCTTCTTGTTCTACCTGCATAGAATGAAGCACATGCAAGCACAGGCGAGGCAAATCCACTGCAGGAGAGTGCACCCCACATTGTAAGGCGAGTGCTTACCCAATGTACATGCAACAATAAAACTAACGGAAAATTGCAACGTCGTAATCATAGTTTGGTTATAAAAATTAGGCCTTTAGCTAAAATGCTGAATGAATAGCAGAACACAAAACAGCAAGGTTTTGAGAAATCTAATGATATATATTTATTTTGAACAAAGGTTTTCCTTCCCTATGCATCACTCTTTTCCTTCCTGAAATTAAACTACATTGCTACTATCCACTATTCATCAGCTAGCACAAAATCACTACAATGTCACAGGTTGATAAGAACTAATATTTAGGTTCTTTATAGTCGAGCACTCAGGCAATGGAAGACAACTTCTATTAAATGAGTAGCAAGCCAGAACAAAAGCTTCAGGAATATTATCAATAATTCTTATAGCTTATGAAATTTGGATCCATATTATGAGAATTTTTTAAAAAAAGAGGTTATGTGTACACATAGATCACAGACTACAGGCTTATATTCATCTACTCTGCAAAAGAACAGAGTTATCACAAAAAGCAAAGCTCTAACCAAAAACTGCAAAACTAACATAGTTATAAGCCGACAAAATAAGCTATGTTTGTCTTTGCTTTATGCGGATGTATCTGGCTTCTCTATACTGGTTTTCTTGCATTATGGAGCATTCAGTGCGGCAACAATTCTTGCTCCATCTCTGATATGACGCCACCACCGCTACAGAGCATGACAAAGTGAGCATAGAGGAGGGGAGGAGGAGCCAATGAATGGCCCAACTGATTCTGACAATCCAGTATAATATGAGTAAGGTAGCACCATTATACTTTGTCCTAAACTCCTACTAATTTGAGAAGAGGACCTAGCATGTGCTAAATTGCATCAAACCATAAATCCATAAATTTAAATGGTTGTTATATGCCTAGTTTACATTATTTTAGTCCATTGACTGACAAACAGACAACTAAATCTCACGTCCAAAAAGAACAACGCGTGTATAATAAAATGACAGAAATGCTAACCTTGTTCCTACTCTAAAAACCTACAATCTTTATTAGCTCAAGCCATAGACTTAAGTTTCCTCGCTCTTATAAGGCATATATCCAGATGTTCAGTATTAATAAGCTATCAAAAATCTCCCTTCAAAAAAAAAAGCTATCAAAAATATACACCAATTAGCCAAGATCTTGTGTTGCTCAGATGAATCTGATCCCAAGATCATGTGGCTCATCCCCAGAGAGCATATTGATGTGTACTCTCATCCATAGAATCCTGAGATCATACTGATGCGTACTTTGATGTGATGCGAATTTGCAACATACAAAGAAAAACAAAGACAAAGCAACTACTCTGCCTTGTTCCAGCACTGCAACCCTGGATTGGGCACCGAACTGTCAAACTCGAACTCCACGCCACTGCATCGGTTGTCTTTGCTGCTCAACTTGCTGCTTACAATCTGTTCTCCCTCCTCCCCTCGTGGCTAGGAGAGGAGAGAAACACTAATCTGGCCAAGAAAAACATCATCCTTTATAGTTGGGAACTCGAAGAGCCAAATTCGAACAAATTCTCTGTCGATAGCCAATGATTCACATCGGAAGGGGCAGAACAGATTAAAGGGTCAGACTTGTGCACCAAATTCAACCAATGGGAGCAGCTGGAATAGAGAACCAACACCAAATCCAGCCCCGCAAGAGGAAAGCATCACCTGGTAGGGAGGAGGAGAAAGATGCACCGCCACTTGAATGGAATAGCAGTAGTATACCAGGATGCCACGGTGCGCCGACGCTACGCTGGGCTGCCGCGCCTGCACGCGTTGCATCCACGCTGCCATTCGCCCTTGCTCTCGCACCCAGCTGCTGCGCCGCCGCCAAGCACCCGCGTCCTGCTGCAAGCCTCAACTCATCTCCAACCCTAGCCTCCGAATGGATAGTGATGCTGCTAGCCACCGCTAGATCTGAAGGTGGCTCGTTCTCTGTCGGGGCAGCGACGTACTGGGAGAGGGGCAAGGAGATGGAAGAAGGAAGGTGAGGGCATGTGGGAGAGGTCGTCGCCGGCGGGGAGGCAAGGTGGCGGCCGTCGTGATGGCAAAGGAGAGAGAGCGAGAGCGGGGAATCGTGACGGCTAGGGTTCCGGGAGGTGAGAGTTAGGGATACTTTTTTGCAAAAAGACACCCTGCTTTTCATTTTTCAGAGCGCACTTCTATTTTCTGAATTTTCTCTCCTTTGCATAAGATATTGTTGGTTATGGAGGGCCTTTACGTGAGAATACAAAACTAAGGAACCCAAGATGAGGGACCTACAACAAATTAAGAATAAAATTAAGGGTGTTTTTGCAAAATAGCCAGCTTACGAAAGTCCCACGCTCCAAGCGCGCGAGGCGACGTGGATAGCGTGGGAGGCGAGCACGCAGCCTCAAATCGCTGTGGGAGCAGCAACTCAGGGCAGGTTTTAATATAACCGATGCTGTCGCGCGCGCGCTCTCTCTCTCTTGTCCTCTGCTTCCAATCCAGCGCCGGCGAGATGGGCCAGTAGGTAGCGACACGGACGGCCACCTCTCACATTGGCCATGTACATGTATTGCCTGTTATAATTGATCGAAGGCGAGTAGTACTCTATTGAAAATTTGGTCATAATTCGGCGTATTTTAATTCAAAAAAACAAGATAATAAACATGATATTTACAATGGGATTTGATCTAGTGATAGTGGTGAATGTAATCAACATGAGCATGCTTAACGTAGAATAAGCATCAACAATCACATAATAACGCAATGTTGACATTGCGATGAACATTAATAGTAAAATTTCTAATTGAAATAATGTAAGAAGGTTATACCCCAGGAATGGTCCTCCGCTGGAGTTTGAGACAGTATTGCCTCCGTTGGTGTTGACGGAAGCCTCCTTCTCCTTGTCTCTAGTGTTGCCGTTGTCTCCAGTGTTTGACATGTTGGTGAAGACGAAGTAGACGTTGACGAACAGTGAGTAGTCGTGCCTTGCGCTCCCCAAAAACCTGATCGTCCGCCCGTCCGTGCAAACGTCGCAGCAGTGCGTGGTTTCGGAGGCCTACTCTCCCAACGCGTGTACACACACTCATCGGGATGGGATTACTGTAGCAGCAACAGCCTTGGAAATGGATGAAAGTGTGTCTATCTTCTCCTTAGGGAGATCAAATCCATTCTCATTTTATATGAGGAATGGAAGATGAAGAGTAAGAGTCATGGAATAAGAAGAGGAATAGAGTAACTAATTCTCATCAATTAGCCATGAACCATCCTCCACTGTACAACCATCAACCAACCATCAATTAGGAGTAATTGCTGTAGGTTATCAATGGAATAGGAAGAGGAATAGAGCAACTAATTATCATCAACTAGCCATGAACCATCCTCCACTATACAACCATCAACCATCCATCAATTAGGAGTAATTGATATAAGTTACCAATTCCCTAATCAAATTGATTAATTCTCAAAACTCCTCATCCCATTGATATCCCATAAGAGAATGAATACACATGAATTCCTAGTATAATGAGCCTTGAAATTTATTTGACTTAATTGATTTAAATGGATCAATTACCCAATTAAATCTAACACTCTCACCTTCAATCTTTCATCAACAATCGATCCGGCGGGCAAGGCAGGCAGGACAGGGAATGGCTAACTCGATCGATCAGATCAGTACTGATTGAAAGCAGCAAACGCAAACGTGTCATCCCTGCAGTTTTCCGCTAGCCGCTCGATGTCGTCAGTGGAGCCGCAGGGGAGCGCCCAAAGCCCGCCCATGGCGCCGGCGTAGGCGTGCCCCATCTCGGAGAGGACCACCACCGCCATCTTCCGGAGGACTGACCATGGAGCTCCGCAGCACGAACGGCACCGAACACCTGCAGGGCGAGCTTCTCCGCTAGCAAGAGGTGTTGAATAAACCCCGGCGTGTTCTAGTTAGGATAGTTAGTTGAGTTTCCTTGTTTTCAGCTGAGCCCGAGTTTTGGGCGCGTCTTGTACAGAGGCTCGACGTGTGCACGTTCACGCGGGAGTCTGGTAGTCGTGAGCGAGTCTCGCGGCACGCTCGAGCTGTGGGATGGCGCAGTTCGTGAAGAGCGTGGCGTGCGGTGCGCGCGTCATGGCCGGCATGGCCATATGTTTTTTTTCTCCTATAAATAGCAAGAGCTACAGAAAACGCGGTGATTTTTTTTGGCCGCACCAATTCCCTGTCCACGTTCGTGTGTGTTCTGTGTTGTGTTGCAGCTCCCGGCGTTGTCTTCCTCAACTCCGGCGACCGCTCCGACTCCGGCGAGGGTCGGAACAAGAGGCGAGTCGAACGGGTTCATGGACACCAAGAATCCGCTGCCGCGCATTTGCACCGTCGTCCCAGGGCCCGGCCCCGAGTCTGGCACAACTGGCACCGATGTCTTCTTCTCCGACTTGCTTCTCGATCGCCGTCATGGCCTGCTTCAGCTTCCCTACGTACCCTTGTCGTTGTCTACCTCAAGCTTCCATAGAAACTCCACTGTCACCATCCCCTTCAACCGCGTCGAGGCACTACTGCAGAAGCATCTTCTTTGGTGAGCTCGAGTGGGAGCCAGGGTTTGAAATTTCAGTTCGAAATTTCCGAAATTTCGGTAATTTCGCCCGTCACCGGCATACTCAAATCTCGCCCGAAATTTTTGGCTTTTTACAATTTTTTTGTGAATTTGGTTAAATTTTATTCAAATTCATTCAAATTAAGTCAAATTTTCAAATAATTTCAGCCAGAAATTTCCGAAATTACCAAAATTTCAGAAATTTCGCCCCCCCCCCTCTCCCACCTGCATAAAATCTAATTTCGAAATTGAAAACCCTAGTGGGAGCAGCGCTTCCCTCGCTAACGCCCTCCTTGCCATCCACTGCATTTGGCTCAACAAGGTGGAGAGAGATGAGAGGAGGGGAGGATGAAGGAAGAAAATAGAACTGACATGTTGGTCCCATATCTAGGGTTATTTTGGTATATATGATAACAGAAAATGATTTGATCATAACTACTATTGATATAACCGTTACTCACATCATTGTTCAACTAGAAGACATCAAAGATCAAACAGCAGAAACTGTGGAATCCAATTCGGTGACCTGCAACAATATTGACTTCAAATGGCCGCCAAATGTGCATACGATCTCCATTTTTTGCCCATGAGTACTTGATGGAAAACTTTCTGAGTCCTCTTTTCAACGGATCCAGCTTCATCTTCAAATTCCATCTCAGTCGGCCACAATCACATAAATAAGATGTTGCGTTAGCTATAATATGCCTATGGGCTTGTAACTTTATCTGGGACCCCGGCCCAAGTGGGGCCCATGTGGGATGCGCCCCAACTAAGTGGAACACGACCCTAGTGACCCCTATATTGTTCTCCCACCTCCTTAAATAGCTAGGTACCCCTTCAGGGTTTCTCTGATTTTGTTTAGATTAAAGTTTAGCCATTACTATTTGCTTGCAGCGCGCATGTCGGCTAGACCGCCCATCTGTTTGTCTTCGAAACCCCAACTTATCATTTGTATTTAATTCCTGTTCGCAATTCAGATTGTTTTTATCTTATTCTTGTCTGTTTCTTTGATTTGCTTACAGGAACAAGGTTGATCTACACCAGCTAGTTCAACAACCCACGGAGAGGTGTATCAATCGCTAAGGCGCAACACAACAACGTCTTGTACTGTTGTAGTGGGATTGTCAATGTTTCTTTGAAATCGTAGTTATCCCAACTCACCGAAAGATCGGGCCAATCAAAGCCGTGAGCGTATCGACTGGAGCTAAGAGTTTATCAGAAAACATGATGGCAATGGCATGATTTCAATTTGTACATATTCAAATGGCATGGATACGAATATACGAATAATAATAGCATTTATCTAAAATGATACATTCGTAGTGGATGAATCTAATTAACCCTAAATATAAAAATATAAAAGGTTTCTGTTGAATTGGTACAACATAAATCCAATTAAGAAAGAGACAAATATTTTCATTTAGATAAATTTAACTGAAAGTTCTTTCTTTTTCTTTAAAGAATTCCATCTTCCTTAAAATATCATAAAGTCTTGAAGCATCCACCTCCTTGTTGTATGCACGGGAAAATGTGTAGTGCAAATCTTGGATTGAAAAATAGACATACGAGGTTCGTTCACGTCATTAAATGTAAAAATTTTACTAATAGGTTTACTCATAAGTAAATTTTTTACTCATGGTGACGTGGACGAATCTCAGACGTTTATTTTTCAATCTAACGGTAGTTTTCAAGTTTGCACTGCATATATATATATATATATATATATATATATATATATATATAGTTTTCACCGTATGGTTTTCCTGAATGCACTGCTGACCGAGCATCATCTGAAGGCACTTCCCTTGCTCCTCTTTACATCCTTATTATTTTCAAAAATTGCTATACGGCAATAATGTTCTGTTGACGTTATGTCGAAGAGTAGAGGCAGAGCTAGCTGATATTATTACGTATGTACTGTATTACTTAAAAATTTAATTATCATTTTGTGTTATTACCAATTGTATTTTTCTGTGTTTCTATCCAGCTACTGCACTATAGGTTCGCAGTTTTTTTTGTTCTTTAACCGAGTAAGTTCATGGTTTCTTGATTCTGTTTTCGAAGCGACGATGATGATTTTTCTGGTCTATATTTGGTTTGATTACCAAAACATTAATCACAGGTCATAGCCGCTGGTGTCGTGTTAACAAAATAACCGTGATCTACTTAAGAGTTTTTTCCCGCGCAGATAATCATTAAGCCAAATAGAACATGAAGGTAAACATATCATATTGTTGTTTGGTACCATTTACATGTTCCAGGCGCACAAGGTACCAAAGATTATGGCAATTTCTTGAATTAGTTCATCATAATCAAATTCCTAATCCATGCTATCCAGTCCCTAACAACAAAGAAAGCAAGAAGTCAAACCACCTGACAAAGAGTACATCAGTGCAAATTTGCTTGTGCTGCCTTCTGAAACCTAAAGATCATCCCATTAACACGGAATCGTCGCTGCCGTGTTTGGGGTACTGTACAACTAAAGTCTAGCTACAAGCGCTGGGGCAAGCTTTGATATGCTGTTCACAACAATGTTCTGTTCCCCGTGAAAAGGCAAAAACGATTTAATTTTAGCTTTGCCAAACATCAGTCAGATAGCCATCGAGCCCATTCAATGGCCACTTGGGTCCACATCTTGGAGAGACCCTCATCACATCCTCATTATCTGTCACCTGATTCTGAAACAAAAATTTAAGGATCATCAATTATCTCAATCTCAACATTATTAAGCTGGTATCAGCAGCATGAATATGACTTTAATGGATTCTCATGCCTGTTTGTTTGGCTATTCCGTTCTGACTGTTCTCTGGAACATCCTTCACGGCAGAAGATTCTGGAAGATCAGAAGATGGCTTTGTTCCTTCTGCTGAGGTTGAAGCATCCACCGCCTTGTCTGTCCCAGGTATGCACTGCTGCTCGAGCATCATCTGAAGGCACTTCCCTTGCTCCTCAATTCTCAGCTGCAAACTTCTTTGGATCTGCAGAGCAAATAAGCATTGAACCAAAAGGGTTAATTTCAGAAAGTTCAACACCCTGCAGTCAACAGCTTGGGGAAATGAGAAGTTCACTTTGATGTTGGTCTAGCTTCCTTCATAATCCATGTTAATCAACTAGGTAAGGAATTTGGTTACTTCACTTTTAACGCATCTCATAGACAAAAACATCTAAAGCAGACTTAGCAGATTTTCAATGCCCTGGCCCCTGTTATGGCAGACCTAGCTAATCCATGAAACTAGTTTTTCTAGGAATGTCTAGTAAAAAGGAGCAGAGACAATGTTCAACAACAGGTTTAGCCGACTGTTGATATGAAAGGATAAGAAAAACAGATGAAAACAATACAAATATGGCAAAAAAGTACTAGAAATTAACAGCTAAGTTCATATTTTCCTAATGAGCTGTGATGCCCTCTATTGCAAGAACCTACATGTACGGAAAAAAAACTAAACCCTGAACAAAATAATAACTGCATCCATATGCTAATTTTAACGGTTGGTCTTGGTTTGAAATACTTTTGGATTTTTTTTCCTAAGGCATCCTTTTTCACCTAATACTCCAATCAATTTGCTTACCACATATGATGTTAATGGTCGGTTATATAATTCACAATAGAAAGAACTCCATAAAGCGCTAATTCGTTCTTTGCTTTATATGCATGGAGCTCAAACAAGTCAGCTTACACTAGTACTATATGATAGCTTGAAGCTTGCCTACTTTATTCTGAACTTCATACCAAAGCCCTTCCCCACCTTCCTTTCAGAAGAAATATAAAGCATGAAAAACAATTCATTAGTATGCTACATACCTCAAGCTGTTCATGAAGCCTCTTTTGGAGTTCTAACTGGAGACGCAATGCCTCAGTGAGATCAAAGTTCCTGCAACAGAATACAAGAATGAACACTCGGACCTCACAAGATGGTCTAATGTTAAGGATGCCCAAACAAGTTGGCTAAAACAGCAGGCCATTGCATATTTGCGGTACAAGTTGGCTAAAAACAGCAGGACATTCCATATTTGCGATCAGATTAGTAGGCAAAATACAAGCAAGAATGAAGGACTAACATTAGACCAGACAAAGACCAGATAGATTTTTTTTTTATTGTGGAAGATCACTGCTTTCTGTTCACTAGACACAATTGCATTTGATACAAATAAATAACAGAAAATACAAAAGGAGAAAGTTCCAAGGAGACCAAGGAGAGTCAACGAGTTTGAATAAGAATATCTATTGGTAATAAAGAATTGTTTCCAAGCCACTTCAATATAGAACACAGTGCTGTAACGAGTATTGTTGTCCTATTACAAAAAAACAGTTTGCTGATCAACAAAATATCTTAAGCATTTGATCAACAAATTATTCCTTTTGTTATACCAAGAAAGCCCCTTTTAATGGAGAATCTTTCACTGAACCAGTTTTGCTAATAATATGATTGAATACAGGATTCCAAATGAATAAAAGAGAACACAGCAGTGAGATCGCAAGGTAGAAGCATAATGAAGTCATGAAGATTTCAAACTTACCCTCCTTTCAGATCTATTGATGGTATGTCCTCTTTTGAGGCTGCCTTCTTTTCTGAAGAACCTGAAAAATCTCAAATTGATGAACATGGCAATAAAATAAATAATACATGGCAACAAAATAAATAAATAAAAGAATGCAGCAAAACACAGAAAAAGTGGAACGTGGCAGACCTTCAGACAATTCTGGTCTGTATCGAGCTGTTCTGTATTTCTGCAAAATAAATTAACTCAAAATGAAAAGATAAGAATAATTTTTTTTCACAAAAATATCATGCAATAGGGACAACTAACAGACCTGAAGGTGACTTTTAACATGATAAATGGTCAAATTGTCTGCCTTCATTAGCTTTAACACACCCTTGGGAGTAGCTTCTGCAACAATTCACAATAAATGTCAATATGCATAATTAGTTCAATCATAGGAGATGTAACATTTCTTAAAGCAATACACACTTTCACTGCCACCAAGTAGATTGACAGCATCTACAAAGCGCTCATGAAGTTCAGGAGTCCATCTCATTCGTGTCTTGGAGTTGGAGGTATTGGAGGCACCAGAGGGCGAGGGTATAGCAACTGCAGAAGGTTCTCCTGATTGAGATGAAACTGATTGTTGGGCAGCTGATTGGTGAACTGCGACAGATGATTGCGCAGCTGGTCCAACCTATATTGAAGATAAATAGAGCACCACTCAATTACATGTTGGATGCGTCTAGAAGACTAGGAACTAAAGAATTTGCAGTAGTCATCAACAATGAATAGCATAGGGCACTTAGGGATAACTACATGTGACACATCCCACAGTCTTAATTCAAGCTCAACTGGAAACTGGCAGCACCCACCCAAACAAGCCTAAGCTTATCCTGATGATATCAACCAGAAAGAAATTTAGATATCATCTCAGGGTTAAAAAAAAAATTCTTGGTTAAGCTCAAAACTTCACAAGTATGTCAATATTATACCCTTTTCTTTGTTTAAAAAAGAGAGAGAGAGAGAGAGAGAGTTCCCTGGCAACCAAGCCGTCAAGCAACTTGGTCGTATAAATTTTAGTTTAAACAACACTATGCTATTTTAGCTGATCTGAAGTTTGGTTATGATATGTTATTAAACCTGTTGAGCTTCTCTTGAGCAAACATGGAGCCTATTTGAGCTTCTGTCAAGAAAATCCCTATAATTCATACTTATACATAATAAGAGCAGAAACCTACATGCAGTTCAAACCAAGTCAAGCCTGCCCAAGCTCATTCAAGATGACTCTCCACAATTCTACATACAGTAAAGTCATCATGTTTTTTGCTTGGTTATATGGAGCCAGGAAAACTACAAGGTTGCAGCAACTGCATCCTTTTATCTTGAGCATAATCGCATTTTTTAACTATCTAGGTGTCAAATGCATCATGGCTAAGCATGCCCAATTGAAAACATCCAATCTATAGTAAACATTTGTTAAACAAAGCAAAGTGTAGACGTTTTGCTTGCATGTCACATATAAGAATAATTGCATTTGTCAACGCAAACATGTAAATCTTATTGGGGTCGCTAGACTGCCATAATGCTAAAGATAATTTATTAAGTGGCAGTTTTGAGCTGGAGATACGAAGAACGAAATATACTAATCTGATAAACACATCGTACATAATATGCATCAAACACGGTAATGTCACGGACAATTGGATGTTGCAGAAACAAAAGGATAATTTTAGAAAGTCAATAATCAAGATGATGCTTCATTTCAAACTCACTAACAAAGAACACATCACAGCATGAAATAACAGTTAATTTAGGAAATAGTTTAGCCAAATAAGAGTAGAATTGTTCTTAGATAATGAAGAATTACTCCCCAAGTTCAGCCACCAAAATAGCAGAAACTGTCATACCTGTGGTTGAGTTTCAGTACAAGCTGTGTTATCAATATCTTTCCAGTCATAATTCATAAAATCATTCCACCATTCACTTTGCTTGGCAAGTTCATCACCAGCTGCAATAGAACTGTTTTCAGTCAAATTGTTCCCAGCAGGGACATCATCTGTATATCCAAGCAAGCCATCAACTGGATCAGGACACCACGTCGGCCCAGCATCTCTTGGAAAATCAGTCAAGGAAGGTTCAAAGCCTCCATATTGTGATCCATAATTGAGCGTTGAAGAACTCCCACTACTCGGCGGTTGAGAATTGTAAGGATTGGCATTTGTATATTGCTCATTGCTTGAAACTGAAGAGAACCTTATCGCCTGGGACGAACGCAGAGGCCCAACAGACCCGGTACTGGACTGAAAATGCCCATGAAGAGGAGCAACAGTACTCTGATTCTGATGAGGTGGCATAGGTGTGCTTCTCAATTCTCTCTCCCGCGGAACATTCTGCCCATCTGGAATCCTGGGAATGTTTTCATCCAGGGTAGCTGGTATAGCAGGCAGAGGCGATGGCACAGTCACCGGAATTCCAGAATTGTAGAGCTGATTGGTGCTTATTCTCTCCATTTACAAACACTCAAGCCAGAATTATCCTTCACTGTGTTAATTGGCAAGACCTTTTGTTGACTCGATTTTCCAAAAAAAGAAAGCTTCTCCTCTCCTAGGGCTGACACATCTGCAACAAAAGAATGTTCAACCCAATCATGACAAAAGAAACCTCTGACCACACAAAAGGGTATGGAAGCATAAATTTCAGTAGTGTACAGCAGAATCTTCATGTCAATATGAAAATTATCAATCCCCAGCCTATTGCTCCAATTAAACAAAAAAAAAACACGACTTCCTTAGTCACGGCTTTGAAGCCTATAATCATCTCTCTTCTCGTCAAAGGTTAGGCCGAATTTCGCGCAAATCCAAACATGAAAAAGCTCTATGCGTAACATAACCAACTGATCAGCCTCAAATCAGAGGGGCCACGAATCCCACGATCCCAAGATACCCATATCCTCCCTCACCCAACACGCCCTCCTCACACGACTCCACCAATCCAAACCAAACCCCAGCCTAATCTCATCAAGCTAATCACACCCGCCGCACAATTCCACCATACAACCAGAACGAAGTCAAGTACCCCCCAACCCAACCCAACCAACGAACCCGACCGAATCCCAACAATTCCTCACCGAGCCGAGCGCAGATGACCCCGGGGGAGCTGTGGATTGAACCGGGCCCGACGCTGAGCTACAGACAGAGATACAGATAGACGGCGGAGGAGGAGGCCTCACCTCCGGCGAGAGATCGGCGGAGGCGGAGGAGCTGAGCCCGAATCCTTCGCCTTCGCCTTCGCCTGCGATAGAGAGAGAAGCGAGGAGAGAGAGAGGGATGAGATGTGGGGAGAAATGGTGGGAGGCGGCCTTTCGCGTGGCGGACCGCCGCCCGCACGAGCCAGCCCCTGGGCCACGCGAGCCGCTGACAGGTGGGGCCGGGAGGGGTGGGCCCGGGCCGGCCGTGTGGAGGGTAGCACCGCACGCGCGTACGCGGAGCGGGGCAGGGGTGGTCTCTCCGGTGATGGGGAAATTATTCTGTCAACTTGGGTCGCGTGGGTGGGTGGACCCGGTCCATTGGAGATACGTAGCGTGGGGCCCGGTGGCAGTGGGTGGTGGTGCAGTGGACCAGTCGCGGGAGCGGTTTGACACTCGGGGGGGAGGGTGCGCTTTTGGGTTCCGTCTTGGCGTCCACAAATGGGGAGGGGGAGGGGAACGAGGGCGAGGTTGCTGTTGCGGCCAAGTGATGCCTTTCGGATACGGCGCGGCGCACACGAGCGCGCACGAAATTTCCGACCCAACGGTACCGTTTTGCATTTCTACTGTCTTTTTTAATTTATTATATTTGTTTTGTGTTCATGCTGTACTCCCTCCGTCCCACGTAATATAAGCGATGCGACACATCTTAGACACTCTGTCGTGTATCGCATCGATGGAGGGAGTATCTACGACGTCAATAAATAATTAAATTGGTAAATCTTGAAAGTTTTTTGACAGACCAAGAAATATTCTCTTAGAAAGTGATATCCTTCTCAACCATTTTTTTCCTTAGCCGCACCTCCCAACCGTAGGAATAGTGAAAATCTTATAAATAGTTATTAATTACTCATATAAATAGGAGTATATGATGAAGTTGGATTTTTAATAAAAGTTCGACCATTCAACTTATTCAATTTTTGTGTGCAAACATATAAAAATGTAACTTATGTTTAAAGACTGTATGATGATAAATTAAGTCATAAAAATAAATAATAATTATATATATATTTAAATAAGACAAATGGTCAAACGTATAAAAAAATCAATAATATCAAATATTAATTAATGGAGAGAGTACTAGTAATTAATGGATTTCAATGAAATCCTCAAAAAGAATGTATATTCAGGTCGTTTTTCCTTTTCATTAATCATCCTAAAGATTTTTCTTTCATTCAGAAATTCGGTACGCATGCGTGTGCTTCTTTCTTCAAATCAACCAACGAAAGAGCATTGTGTTGTTTTTTTGGAAGTATTGAGGCTATAAATCAAAGAAACAAAGGATTCTGGTTGAAGTTAGTTATTCCCGTGTTTTTTTTCTTTTGTCTAGTGTGATACTACTTGCCAGAATGAAATTGAATGTGATTTCTCCTAAATCTACAAATTTAAACTTTTAAGTTCACTAAACATAACTTGGTGTTTTTGAATCCTCCTTAGCTCTGGACCTATGCCTTGCAGGATTCGTGGCTAACAAAATTTTTTAGCACCGGAGGGTTTATGAGGGTCCGGTTCCAAAGTAAATAAAAAATACCAAATTATTTAAATTGGGGTTCAACGCGAGTTTAGTTGTAGAGTCCATGAAGAAAGGACGAGAGAGGAAGAGAAAGGTGGTCATATGAATTCGTAGGGAACATCTCTTCGTATTATTGTATTCGGAAGTAAGAATAATTGAATTATTCAGTACGAAGTTACGCTGAATCAGGACACGTAACAGGGTTGACTTCAAGATAATAGAAAAAGAAAAGAAAAGAGAGACCGAGATGCCAAATGATCAACAGCTGATGACGATGTGCTGATGCACATCATATCGGTGTCTCAGATTATGAGACTATATCTATATGAGACTCTCTTCCGGGGAAAAAAGAAGTGGTATGAGGATGTTTATTTATTCACACAGCCGAGTCGCCCTTTGCATGAACGACAGGACGTTGCGTTTGCTGCTCACTGGTGCACATTGACTAGTTAACCGGGGTTTTTTCTTAAACAAAGAACATAGTACAAATGCACGCACCCACAACGCCTGCACACTCACCTACCCCTATGAGCACCTCCGAAGACTAGACCAGCATATTTTGAAATTGACGAAGTCACCACAGGTGCCTCGCTGCCAAGAAATACGTCGCCTACCACTGAAAGAATAATTAGCCATAAATGCGAGCACCCATGTCAAATCTAGAATTTGCTCCACCACAAGAAACCGAACTAGTTGAGCTACACTCACTTCGCTAGTTAACTGGTTTTTACAAAAGGAAGATACGAATTACCTCCGTGAGCTATCGCCGTCAGCCGAATTACACCCCTGAACTCGAATACCAAATATTTTACACCCTTGACTATTGAAACCGGATAAATAAACCTCCGACTTAATCCAGAGTGGTTTTGGTCCTACGTACCATACGCATGGCACTCGAATTGAGGTTGTGACCTCCTCCGTTCAATGCTGTAGTGGGGCGGCCTCCCTTGTCCACCATGGCCGGCGAGGTGAGGTGGGACAACGACCAGTATGACCGCATCACCGCCATCTAGATTGATAGCTGCAACCTCCTCCCGACCACCACCGCGGAGCCACGTGGCGAGGGAAGCCGAGGATGAGGTGAGTGCCTGGAGGCCGCCGAGTTCAGGGAGGACGGGGAGAAGCGGTGGAGGTTGGGGACGAGACATGTGATGGCCACCAATCTCGGGGAGGATGGAAGTGGCAGCAATGGCGATCGGGGAGGAGGGCAAGGTTGAGAAAATTTCGCTGAGGAAGCTCAAGACGACGGCTGGCTCGTCGCTTACTTCTCACAAGCTCCGGCTCCGCTGCCGTTGCAGTCGCCTCCGTGCAAGCTCCGGTTCCACCACCCTCCCCAAGCAACTTTGAGCTCCGCCACTGGCCGCCGCCTCCATTGCCTTCACCGAGCTCGGTTGATGTCGGTCGCCGCCTCTACGGTCCTTAGCAAGGGGATGGATCTGGGATAAGAGAAGGGGAGATTGAGGAAGACAAAATGGAGAGAGGTGGGATGGAGAGATCTAACAGTGAGCCCCACCGATATTTTTTAAAGAATTGTTTATTAGACTGTCACACGTATGTCACGTAGGACCAAAACCACTCTATATTGAGTGGTGGGTTATTCGTCCAGTCTCAACAGTTGAGGGTGTAAAATATCTGGTTTTCGAGTTCAGGGTAATTTGATCGACCATGATAGTCACTTTTCCCTTTCTAAAAAGCACTCCACATAAAAAAAGGACATATTGACCAACTAAACTGTCATGGTTATGGATACCACATACCTAATAGTAGTTGACTAAACTCGGCAGGGCCCACCACATACCATGTCTTATACGGAAACAAACCAACGGTGAAAATAAATTAAATAAATAAATCCCTCCATTAAAAAACATATGTTCGTTCAAAATAAATTAAATAAATAACCCCTCCATTAAAAAGCATACTCTCATAATATAAGGCTGTCAACGGGAGATACTCATATACCGGATAGTATGGGTATTGGAGTACGTTGGTGCAAGGATCTATACGATTCGACATCAAGCAAACAAAGAGACAAGGATTATACCGGTTCAGGCCCCTCGTAAGGTAATAGCCCTAATCCAATTTATATGAGATTGATATGGAAATCCACAGAGTACAATAGAATAACTGATTTCGAGATTACTAGCGAGATCCTTGTCGAGATAGCCTCGACGAGATCTACCAGCGAGTAGGCTTCAAGTCTCATCCGGATTGCTTCTGTGGTGGCAGATTGGCTGGTGTTATGATTCGATGCCTTGGATCTCTTAGGGGGTATGTATTTATACTGTGAATCCCCTTAGTCTCCAAGTAGAACTCGGAGACCCCAGACCATGCATGATATGGTATAATTCTAACCTCTCCGAGTAGAACTCTGTTACGTACTTGCCCGTGAGGATTATTTCCATAATCTCTTGTCGATTTCCTTATCGTATACGGAAATATATCACACATGCGAAGGTATGCCGTATCCGTATATTCCATAAGTCACAGGATAGAAGGTATGTCTTATCCGTAACCATGACAAAGATGATTTGACTTTTTTTCTTAGTTAAATCTTTTTTATGTTTGATAAGTTTATAGAAATACATAGTAACATTTCAACACCAAACAATATGCTATCAAAATATATAATATTAGGTTTAGTGAAACTAATTTGGTGTCATAAGAGTTGCTACATTTCTTTATAAATCAGATCAAACTTATAAAAGTTTGACTTCTTATAATATGAAACAGATGGAGTAAGACGTGTTTTGCTTCATTGGGATAAGGTTTTGATCAAACTAGCTTTTACATAAAAATGCTTGTCGAAATGACATGTATTTTAGACTGGATGGGAGTAGATATTAATATGTAAGTTTTAAATTTGTACATAATAAGTTTCAGAGTCAAATTGATAAAGCAAAGATTTTGAATAATAAACTTCCTAGAAACACCGAATCAAAGCCCACGTAGGCGGTATAGCACTCAATGTGCAATCACACAAGTACACTACGGATTGTGAGCCGCCACTACCACCAAACGCCCAAGCAAAAGGTCCCGTGTGGCAGGGTTTCTGGTTGGTAGGAGTAGATGATAACCGTTATCATGTTATCTAAACAAGACTATATATTATATAATCCTACGATGGGATTGACTATTGAGTTGTATGCACATTGTTTTGTGATCAAGTGTAAATAGTATCTTTTGTGTTCTAAATTGAGAAGTACATGGATTAGCAGTTGTGAATGGCAGTACAATTTTGTACGCCGATGAAAAGAGTAGCTAGGACCAGGAGCATGAAATCATGAACCTTGGATACAACCACTAAACCACACATGCACAGCCATGCCTAATAGCACCAATGAGCAAGGATGTATATCAAGGCTCACAAAACGACCTGCAAAACAATTGTCTGTAGGGCATATTTTTTACGTTTGAGACATGTTCAAACATGTCTACTTTTATATTTGGGAGCACATTTACTATTTCTGGATACATATTTATAGCCACAGGTTTAGATCTCAGACTTCCAGTGAAAATATGTTTACTGGTTCGAATGATGTACATATCCATATAGCCATATTAATGAACACTAGGATTTAGATCTTGGTGGATAAAGCAACCATGACTCTACCACCATAGACCATGCCAACGAGGCAATTACCCTTTTAAGGCAAGTTCTTAGCTAAGGTTTCTAACTCTCTTCTCTCATTCTACGTGCACGCTTTTTAAACTACTAAACGATGTATTTTTTTAAAAAAAAATCTATACGAAAATTGCTTTAAAAAATCATATTAATCCATTTTTTAAAAATTAGCTAATACTTAATTAATGAGTCACTATGTTTGAAGTGCGTAAGTTCCCAATACTACCAACCGAACACAGCATAAGAGTGTATTACCACCAGACCAACTTAGAATTATGTTATATTCTTGGCTGTGATTACTAATTCATTATTCCTATACCAGAAATGAGGGGAACAGAATCTTCAGTCACATTCCAATTTATATCCCATTGCTGTTCTTTCGGAGGTAACATTTATACATGCTAGAAAAAGAATTAACTAGAAAATCAGTGCGCCTATATTTATAGCCAAGTAAATTGCATCACCGATACACGAACTTCACAGGTGGGTGCAATCTAGTACACAAACTTGTAAAATGCTCGTTTTGGTGCATGAACTTATCTGGTGCGTGCGAATAAAGACGAAAAGGATACTATATGGCTAATCTTATTGATTTAGGGGCCGATTCGGATACTATGCAAACATATATATGAGAAGGTTGCTATTAGATAAGGTGCACGAGATGCTAGACTTCTCCTCAATAAATTTATTATCATTTTAAACATAATTAATGAAATAAAATGTATGTGATTATAGTCGCACCGGTTTTTTTCTTTTCTATTGGTGCGTGTATTGTGTGTCCTATTTAGAGTTAGTTTATGACACATAAATTTTAGAGGACTTTAATAGAGATTATCTAATTTATTTTAAAATTCTAGAAACCATAATATTTTTCATCTGTAATTTTTTTTCTGGATTTTTCTTTTTCTCCTTGATCACTCCATCGATCATCGATCGAAGGATGTGAAATTTCTACAAATTCAAGGTAGCAGATACTATGTACCAGTTGGGAAGCTTCTTGCACTTGCTAGATGTGGTGTTCAAAACTTTATTTTTCAGGATTTTTTTTCTCTTATATAATTCATAAATTTATCTCAAAGCTTAACTGTGCCACTTGGACCAATTGGCTGTCAATTTCACTGCCAGCTCTAGAATTACTGACTAGAACATTAGCGTGCCGGTTGGCACGCTTTCTTTATAGCCCATTACATTGTTTAGCGTGTGTTTGAAACATGAAAAATTTATAAGATATTTTTAGCAGTCAGATCAACTTCCATGTTCCATCAAATATTGTATTCTCTTGCATATCATTCTGAGCATAACCTCATGTTAATTTGGGATTATGTGTCCTCTGTGTTTCTGGTGGACGGTTTATTATAGATGTTGAATTTCTAAATTTTTTTTGAGAAAATTAAATATTAGAAAAGTATGGAGTTAAATATTAGAAGGGTCTCGAAAAAAATATTAAAAGATTGATAAGTTTATTTTTTTAAAAAAAGGATTGATTGTAGGCAAAGAAATTATGGGAAAATTGTAAACTTACAAAGTTTGCCCTCGATAATCCATAATACTCTCTATGTCCACAGATATTAGGTGGAAGGATTCAACTCCTAAATGCTACAAGCATAATTTGGAGTTAAACTGTGGCCTATGGGCATTCTTGGGTTAATTCCGCCCCTCATTTTTCTAGGTCATTACAACCTGCTCCACTCTCTTTTTCAGTACAGCTAAAACTATTTTGTTAAGCTTCAGCTATAGAATAGCTGGAGCTGAAATTCTGCTAAACTGACGACTACATGTTGTATCACTCACCCCTTATTTATTTATTTTTCATGTCTTACTTCTAACCATTATCTCATGTTCCAACCATATTTCATTTAATGAGGGCTATTATAATTTCTCACTCCATCCTTGATTTCTCTAGAAAAAGAGCTGGGATATTTTATATTTGTGAAGGAAGTACAATTGCCCCCTCCCCCGATTCACAAGATATGAAGATAACATGAAACATAAAAACGGAGGAATTGAAGTGGTCGATTGGCTTGATGCTGCATGGTGATGGTAGCCGCGAAGCCTGCTGCTCATATTTTAATTGAATTTTTTTCTCCTTAATAATTTTGAGTTTTCTTCCATTGGATATTTGAATACATATAGGGGTGATGTTGTTGCAAAAGGCTAGAATCTAGATATGTAAGTCTATGGATCCAGATAGTTTAACTGGACTTATTTTAATTTTTGATGTAAATTTGATCGGTTCTACTATAAGTCTCCCTTTATTGCATTGCAAAGAGCAGTACAGTCGGAGCTTATGTAAGATGAATTTCATTTACCGGGCTTAATTCTTGTTCTACCACATTTATCTGAATTGTGATAAATGGACCAATAGGCTAGCCGGTAACCGGCCAGCTTGAGAAAAGTAGATAGATTAGGGTTAAGGCTGTGTTTAGTTCGTGTGCCCAAAATTTGTTTGAATTATACGGACACACATTTGAAGTATTAAACGTAGACTAATAATAAAACAAATTACAGATTATGCCTGTAAACCGCGAGACGAATTTATTAAGCCTAATTAATCCATCATTAGCAAATGTTTACTGTAGCATCATATTGTAAAATCATGGCGTAATTAGGCTCAAAAGATTCGTCTCACAATTTACATGCAAACTGTGCAATTGATTTTTTTCGTTCACATTTAATGCTCTATACATATGTCCAAACATTTAATGTGACGGAATTTTTAGAAGTTTGAAGGGAACAACATTTAATGCGACGGAATTTTTAGAAGTTTGAAGGGAACTTAAAAACTGCCTAAATCAATAAGAACAATGGTGTTACAATAAAAAATAATAGGTATACAGTGACTAGACTAGAGGGCAATTGGGATTTGGGATTGCTTCATTTATGATGTATCCAAGGCCAACTATGTTGAACGACCCCATGAATGAGTAAAACCCCACAGCTGCAGAGAACAAGACGTCAGTAATGGAGAATAAACAAAATGACCTATTTATAAATGTATACTCAGCGGAAACATATGCGGATTAACTCCATCATAGAAGGCAATCTAAAAGTAGTAGTAGTATTTCAGATGCAAATAACATGTCATTGGGAGAAGTGCATATGAACTTCCTATCTTTGATCTGTGATCATTTATGACTGGTTATATCTTTCCTGACTAGCCAAGTAACCATGCATTGCAACAGACTTCAAATAGAAGTATATCATACTTTTCAAACTAGTAAAGTTGCATCATTTTTAGGAGAAAACATACAAAATCCGCAATCAAACATCAATCCGCAAATAATGTTGCCACAAAAAGCCCTGTTTGATTCAGCTACTGGTTAGTAGATTATCGCAGGCACGCCTCCCAAGCTGCAAAACATTTTTTTTAAGAAAAGTTTCTGTGCAGATTTTTTTAAAAATCAAATAAACCCATTTTTTCAAATTTTAAAACATTTTTCTTAATTAATGATCTGCCATGTTTTCCATGCCGCAATAAATCAATAATCCCAGTCTCTTCAGCACGATCGAACATTGCCTAGAAGCCATACGGACAAATGCATATCCTCATTCTTGGAAGATCCCACAACTCGAGGGGTCAGTTGTGGGATGGGGTATACTCACAACCACCAACCACCTGACCCTGTTCTTTTCTCCAACAAAAGTTGGATTGAATTTTGGATACTCGCGGCACGCTTTTCAAACTTCTAAACTGCACGTTTTGTACGAAAACTTTCTATATGAAAGTTGTTCTAAAATATAAGATTAATCCTTTTTCAAGTTTGTAATAATTAAAACTCAATTAATCACACGTTATACCACCTCGTTTTGCGTGAAACACTTAATCTTTATCTTTATCTTCATCTTCAGGAGATTCAAACACCACCTACTACTAGCTACTTTCATTTTATAGAGATATCAAACTATTTGTAAAAAGGATCTGGTGTTGATAATATTAGAAATATTATGGTAAAAATAATATTATACTTAAAAAATTCCCGTGCATATTCCATGTAGCAAACAAATGATCAAATACTGTCCCAAAAGTAACAGAAGTTAAAATTTATAAATGTCGAGATTATGCTAGTCGTGGCCCAGCATGGTGCACATTTTTCATCATGATCACACTAGAGTACTTGAGCATTCTACTAACTTGTGAGATAATATGACTTAAAGTCCAAAGAAGTCTTTAGACTTGAATGTAAAAAAACATCATCTTACCTCAACATTCTTCAGTTCAAAATCTGGACTATGAGCCAAGCATGAGTTCCCAAATGTCTGACATGATCCACTGGTTCCATGTAACCTACTCCATAAATCAAGATATAATACTAACTATGATTGTTTTCCGCAAATCGAGGAAATTGTATGCCACAATAGCAACTTACAAATCTTCATCGAGGCACAACGCGAAACTCCCACCTCCTCCAAATGCCAAAGCATCATTCAAGCATAAGTAGTAGTACCTGTTGGCACCTGAATATTTTTGTTCCGACAAGTACAACTTCAATTTTAACAGTATATTCTCTATGTTGATACAGAACATTTGTACTACTATTAAAATGAATCAAGCGGTACATAAATTTCATTTTATATTTCTTGAATATTACATAGAACATTAACATGGTAGATTATAGATTTATGCATTCATTTATAACTTTCACCACAAATTACATCCATCAGCATATCATCCTGGCTACTTTCATTAAAATGCATTGCAATTTTCCTGACCAATGGATCAACAAAAGTGGCATTATGCAAAATGCAAAAGGTGAATATTACATACAACATTAACATGTAAATTATAAAGTTATGCGATCATTTGGAATTTTCACCATAAAATCACAATCCATCACCATATCATTCTGGCTACTTTCATGAAAATGCATTGCAATATTCCTGACCAATCATCAAGAGAAGTGGAACCAAATTTTCTTGTCACATCAACCAGTTTGATGTGACAACTGTAGAAGTTCAAAACTATAATGGCAGAAGATGTGTAATTTATGAAGAATGTGCCAAAACAAAAAATTGTTCTCCGACGCCAAAAAGGTATACCAAAATAAAATGCTTACCGGTTGGTCTGAAAAGCCTAGGTTCACCATAAATCGTTGTGAATACAAATGTCTGATTAGTTCCCTGCTTCATCAGGAATATAAATACAATCATTACACAAACTAGGGAAAAACCTAATAAAGGATGGTCTAAAAGGCAGTAACCTAGCCTGCTAAGGCAATACTAGGCACTGAAGGGCATTCTCCTGCCTAGGCAAGCCTAATTACAAATTAGGCCCTAGGCACTGGCTTGCCACCTGACTAGTTTCTAGTGCCTTGGTGAACTAGGGCTCATGCCCTCATAGCATGACTTCATAAGCATAAGTAGCACGAAAAGCTATCTAATGGCTGACCTGGTATTTTCTTTTCTCTGTAGGCCTGAGAGGACCATTTAACAAGCCACCAAACACAGCCCCCCGCATGTCTCCGACAATCTAACATGAGAAAGGTGAGAAATATTGTCCGTTGAAACCCAGCTTCTAGAAACAAGTTGAATTGTAATGACACATAACACCTCAAAATGGTAAATAAATCATAGTTGGACATACCAATAGGCATGGACCCTGGAGATTTTCACTCCTACGGAAAAGTGTTCTTAGCGATGTTCCATGCTTCCAAGTGCTGCACTTCATTTGCCAAAACAACAAAGAATGAAGAAATCAAAAGGTAATACTACACAAGGCATGATTAAATAAAAATTTCAACCATGGCATGTTGATTTACTGCTTACCTATATAGCAAAACCCAGTGACAACCCTTTAAGGTCCCAGGGAGAGAAGATTGAAAGAATCCAAACAATTTTGGAGATATAAATGTAGACTTTTCAGTTAAATAATAAAGAGAGTCTGTGCAGTCTGATGTTGATGTTTCTTCATTTCCATTTGAGTTATCGATGGGCCTGTGTGACTGCAGGATCTGCTCGTTATTAGAATTTCCATTCCTTTCGTCTCTCTCACTTTCAGATCCAGATTCCTCACTTAATGCCAGGGGCGGATCATGCCACAAGAAATCATTCCCCCTCCATCGTTTAGGAAGCGATTCAGGAGGCAGTGGTTTCATATGCTGTGAACTCGGTGAAGTCCTTTCATGTCCCGGATTTGAGGTTGGTAGAAGGGACATCACGTAAGAAGATAATGATCCTTTCTTAGGGGAAGTAAAATGCTCCACTGGAAAAGGCGTTGCCTGAATAAACACATTGCTATTAAGTATTAATACAGAAGTACAGCAAACAAACAAAACATGATATATGCAAGAAAGCAACATCTTTGAACTAGTAAAACTATAGTAACAAAAAGTTATGACGTACCACAGCTTAAACTTGTAAAAATTATGAGGTACTGCTGCTTAAGCTGACACAAGCCATGAAAATATTTAAAATGTTTCTTTCTATGAACTAAACAAGTCATTAATGTTTCAAAGACTAAGACTGTGCATCACAAATAGGCACTACATCAGTATTGAGTCAGCTCAAACTTAGTATTTTTTTTCTGTACACCTATATACGTTGCAACATTGCCTCCATCGTTAATGGGTTAGGCAGTTACCGGCACTCAGGTTTGTTGCCAAAACACAACCTTTTTATCCTGAAAACCGAAGAATAGTCTCTCCTGGCTAAAGCGTCAACTCTCAACTATCAAATGTGAGAAAATTCACATGTAGAAAGAACATCAATGCCTTGGGAGAAGACAAAATCATTAGACAACACAACATCAACTTATTAAGCACCAATCTGCACCTGAGCTTTCACAGCGACAAAGTAACTATATACATACTAATATATCAAATTGATCACAGAGAAGGGACAGGCAATGAGCAAACGAGGCCAGCGTTCCTCAAAGAACTCTCCTCGTGTGACTCACCTCCCCTACATGGCGGCGCCTTTCAAATCAGCCCCCAGATCCAAATGAACACGAGGAACACATACATATCTACGCCGCAATGCAATTTTCTACATCGAAGAATTACACGTTCTACAAAGGAAGAGAAACAATTCTTCGATTCCGATTCGACATGGGTCACCCTCCGAGGATCCCGCTTCTCTGCCTTCCAGAACCACCGGGTTGGATGCGAATGCGAGGCGACCCCACACCAACCGCCACCAAATTCTTGTGCGAGGTTAAAAAAAAAGAGAAATGGAAAATGTGGATCCGGCACAGCGTGCCCGCGCGGGAAGGGAGGGAGGGACGCGGATCTCACCTGCGGCTCAACGGCAGCGGCGGCGGCGGCGGCGGAGGAGGGGGAGGCGGGGGAGTCGGCGAGGAGGCGGGCGAGCCTGTCCGCCACCTTCTCCTTCCAAGCGAGCATCGCCGCCGCGGTCCGCTCTGCCCTACCCTTACCCTTACCCTTACCCTTGCGTCGACCGCGCGGCGGCGGTGGCGGCGGCGGAGGCGGCTGCTGCTCTTGGCGGCCGCGGCGGAGGCGGTGGCTTTGCGTGGTGGTGGCGATGCAGCGGAGAGGGAAAGAGGCGAAGGCGAAATGTGGTTTGGTTTGGTTTTTGGTTTCACATAATAGGCATAAGAAAAGTTTGGCTGGACCGCACCGCACGACACGACACGACACGAGGAGGAGGAGGAGGCGTCGTCGCGGTCGGTCGGTGACTGGCTGACTGTAACGGTCGCCAGCCAAGACACGCTAGAACGAACCCAAGGGGAATGATAATCAATGTGCGAATCTGAATTTGAAATTTTGGAATTTTATTTTGGAGCTGATTTTTTTACTTTCAGCTTATAAGCAGCTGTCAAAATTTGTATTTTTAGAAATTTAACTTTGGAGTTGGTTTTAAACATTTTTCCATCGTAGTTTATTTTTTATTGAATTTTCAAATAGTGTGGTGTAAATACGTTTTACTCACAGATTATCCATCACAACATATAATCAGTCTGTATTTAGATCAGGGGTAAATTTTTTTACCGTGTCACATTGGATATACGGATACACATTTCAAGTATTTAACATAGCCTAATAACAAAACAAATTACATAATCCGTCTGTAAATTGCGAGACGAATTCATTAAGCCTAATTAGTCCGTCATTAGCAAATATTTACTGTAGCACCACATTATCAAATCATGAAGCAATTAGGCTTAAAAGATTTGTCTCACAAATTAGTCGCTATCTATATAATTAGTTATTTTTTTAACATATATTTAATATTTCATGTAGGTGTTTAAATGTTCGATGTGACAGGGTGAAAAATTTTGAGGTGGGATCTAAACAGACCTTAGATATATGCCAAATAATAGGAGCATAGAAGCTAGGGGTCGGTAGGACGTAGGGTAAGATGAGACCATATTCTATGCACACAAGTTTTGCATGCACAATAATTAAAAAATGTCACAAAAATATAGAAAAAGGTATATTATAACTACATGTAAAATCTTAACCCAAATTCATTATATTTTAGCCGTGAAAAAAAAGTTCTGAAAATTTTAAACTACAAGTCTATCAGATCTTTATCTTTTCTTTTCACTCTTTTATGCATGATGAATTTGAAAAGTCCATGTACATTTTTTTTTCTAATTTCTACACGTGAATACAATACTATTGAAAGTCCATGTACACATGAAGAATTTATGTGTATACGATACGTTCCCATATACAATATCCAATTCACCTCCAAATGCCTCAGCATGGACCTCAGCTCTTCCGTAGTTCCGTCGCGATGTCACTCAAATGCAATTGGTTGTGTTTAGATCAGGGGTAAAAAGTTTTGGCGTGTTACATCGGATATACAGACACACATTTAAAGTACTAAACGTAGACTAATAACAAAATAAATTACAGATTTCACATGTAAACTGCGAGATAAATTTATGAAGCCTAATTAATCCGTCATTAGCAAATGTTTACTGTAGCACCACATTGTTAAATCATGGGGCAATTAGGCTTAAAAGATTCTTCTCGCAATTTACATGCAATCTGTGTAATTAGATATTTTTTTCGTTTATATTTAATACTTCATGCATGTGTCCAAACATTCGATGTGACAGGATGAAAAATTTTGCTAGGGGATCTAAACATGTCCTAAATATAAATGTAAGTAATAATATGTTTAGTTCCACGCTAAAATTGGAAGTTTGACTAAAATTGAAAGTTTGAAGAAAAAAGTTAAAAATTTATGTGTGTAGGAAAGTTTTGATGTGATGGAAAAGTTAAAAGTTAAAAGAAAAAGTTGAGAAGTAAACCCGGCCGTACTAATAACATCTATCCTATTTCATCCATCTCATCGTGAAATTGATGATGGTAGGAGTGGCAAGTCACTACCACTGGTCCCTATAGACATCACATTGCTATAATAGTATCCGTGTCACATTCATTTTCGTTTTAGATTTGTGTCAAATTTATTTTTGTTTTGTATGGCAACTTCACTTGCTCGGATAAAAGATAATAATTTTATGATCTTAAGGTATCCACAGTCGCCCTGAGCGCTCACATGAGGGTCATTAGTTTATTATCATGGATTACTTGCTCAATGTATTTTAAAATACGATTTATTAAAAACTCTTTTTCCCTATTGTACTTTTTAGATGACTTCTTCTAAGTTATTTATGAGATTTATAACATACAAATTTATCCCTATAAATAAGAACGTTATCCATTTTATTTCATTTGCACTTACTACCTTAGCCCTTCTCTTGACTAGTGGCGACCATAGCTGGATGGTGGAAACTGGAAACCACGTAGACACTTGGACAGACATAGGTGAATTTATGTTGGCCCAACAGGGTCCACAAGGGAAATGGAGAAGTATCAAGTGCAATAGCACAATTCAGTGTAATCATGCAACCTCCTTTGTGTACAATCTCATCCCTATCGCACATTTTGCAAAAAAAGAAAAAACACCTATCTCTCGTTATATTTTTTTTATTTTGGTCCTTGAACTCATCTTCCTTTCTCTTTATATCGTTCCACTTTCCTCACCTCACCGAGTAAAAGATTTACACACCTATAAACGGGAGTAAAAAAATAATCACGCTTAAAGTCGGGAGTGAAAATTTTACTCATGCTTAAAACCAAAGATTTACTCATATCTATAATCAAAGTAAAAAAATTTACTCACGTTTAAAGTTGGGAGTGAAAATTTTACTCATGCTTAAAACCAAGAGTAAAAAAATCACTCTTTGTGGATTTTGAAGGTAAAAATATTACAAATGTTGTATCCTATCAGTAAAAAAATTACAACCAATATTTATCCATGAATTAAAGAGTAAAAAAAATTATACAGCAAAAAAAGAAAAAAAAAGGAAAAGTGGCGACGGCAAAGGGGCGGCTGCGGCGTATGTCCCGATGCGGCGAGGTCGGGGATAGAGGCGGAGGGATGCGGCAGCACAACGACGGGCAGGAGCGCGAGCAGACACAGCGAAGGAGGCGACGACAACGGGAGGGAGCAGCCGGTCCGGGGTCGACGACGAGCAGCGCGCGTGAATCTCGACCGGTCCCCTTTCTTCCCCCTCTTTCTCCTCGCAACTGCCGGCGTCGTCCTCCCTCTCTCCTCGCTCCTGCCGATCGGGGACGACGGGGCCATGCTCGCACTCGTCATGGGCGTCAGATCTGCTCGGTGCCGCCAACCTCCCCTCGCCGGCTGTGAATAGATATCCCATCGTGCACATTTCTTTTTACCTTTCATTTTTTTGTGCTCAATGTAATTTCTTTACTCGAATTCATTAATTGCAGTAATTTTTTTATTCTCAAATTTGACACTGAGTTATTTTTTCGCTCACAAATTCCCAACTCGGATGAAGATGGTAAGGAGAGAGGGTGAGGAAGCCAGATTGCCAGAGGGACTAAAATGCAAAACTTTCTTTGGTGGTGGGCGGTTTTCTGCAAAATGCACGGTGAGGGAGGAGGGGATTGATCTTGCACGTTCATGCTAGTCTGCTAGATCCAACGGTGAAAGATGGAAGTTGCACGATTACACTAAATTGTGCTATTGCACCTGATACTTCCCCCCAAGGGAAACATATTCATGGTAAATATTTATATTCTTTTGTTATTAGGCCCACCGCTCCACATATTATTTGGATAATTATATATAAAGCATGGTGACCCGCGCAGATTGCGCGGCTAGTATTATTATATTTTCTCTCATATAATAGCATATGTGTTTTCTCATTGTATTATTCAAATAATGATAGCATAATTTTAAATTTTGTAATAAATTTACGAAACTACTAATGTATAATATTCATATTGTATTTTATATACGTGTTAGTTATTAATTATTTTTAATATCAGATTTTAATTATTTCTAAATTATATATACTCCTATATGGACTCTAGATCCGTCTTTTAATTTTTTTTTTAATTCTGAATTTTTATTATTTCTAATTGTATTTCTATGTGGACTCTAAACTCATCTTTCAATATTCTTTAATTTTTAATTTCAAATTTCAGTTACTTTTAAATTGTATTCATATATTGACTTTAAACTCTTCTTCCCATGTTTTTCTTATTTTCGAATTTTAGTTATTTGTGAATTGTATTTTTATACTGACTCTAAACACTACCTTTAATTTTAGTATGTTTATTCTGAATTTTAGTATGGACTCTATACACTACTTCTAATATTCCTTATTTTTTAATTCTAAATTTCTATTTTTTTCTTAATTGTATTTCTATATGGACTCTATACTATACTTCTAATATTTCTTATTTTTAATTCCGAATTTCTATTATTTCCTAATTGTTTTTCTATATGGACTCTATACTTTACTTCCAATATTCCTTATTTTTAATTCTAAATTTCAGTTATTTCCTAATTGTATTTCTATATAGACTCTAATATGCTCTTCTAATATTCCTTATTTTTAAATTCCGAATTTCTACTATTTCTAAATTGTATTTCTATATGGACTCTAATCTACTCTCCTAATATTCCTAATTTTTAAATTCCGATTTTCAGCTATTTCTAAATTGTATTTCTATATAAACTCATCTTTCAATATTCTTTAATTTTTAATTTAAAATTTCAGATACTTCTAAATTGTATTACTATATTGACTTTAAACTCTTCTTCCCATGTTTTTCTTAATTTCGAATTTTAGTCATTTGTAAATTGTATTTTTATACAGACTCTAAACTCTACTTTTAATTTTATTATGTTTATTCCGAATTTTAGTTAGTTTTAAATTCCTATATGAACTCTATACTCTACTTCTAATATTTCTTATTTTTTTAATTCCGAATTTCTATTTTTTTCTTAATTGTATTTCTATATAGACTCTATACTCTACTTTTAATATTCCTTATTTTTAATTCCAAATTTCTATTATTTTCTAATTGTATTTCTATATGGACTCTATACTCTACTTCTAATATTCCTTATTTTTAATTCCGAATTTCAGTTATTTCCTAATTGTATTTCTATATGGACTCTAGTCTCCTCTTCTAATATTTCTTATTTTTTAATTCCGAATTTCAGCTATTTCTAAATTGTATTTCTATATGGACTCTGCTTTTTTTTTCTCCGATTAATGTGAGAATTTCTAGGCCATGAGAGCGACGTGGAGGCTCCTTTTTCTATTCCTTTAATAATAATATAATAGATAATAGATGCACTGCACCCATGTTGTTTATAATACAATTAGTTGTAGATTGATGCTCAATTTGAAATGATACACAATTTATCAAGTTCCCTTGTGTGATTGACCTATTCTTCTTCTTCTTCTTCTTCTTCTTCTTCTTCTTCTTCTTCTTCTTCTTCTTCTTCTTCTTCTTCTTCTTCTTCTTCTTCTTCGTTGCGAGAAGAACTGTGTTAATATTGGATCATTTATTATGTTCAAGTCATGTCATCGAAACGTGTACATATTCAAAATGCTCGTTAAAAATACTAGTAGATGCAATCATGATTTCTATTTACGCATGAGAGTGTATTATAACAAGAATTTAAGATGTTCACAAAATTTTCCCTATCATCTAATTGAATGTTCAGATGTGTCTGATTCTAGAATCATGTGATGATTCAATCCATGTGATGAACAAATTGTCAAAGGTGAGTATTTTGGAAAACATGGTGCATAGTGTTTTCAGACGATGAGCAGTGTAGGTTGGCGCTAGGTGACCGGTTAGACTGGGTGGTGCATGCCGGTCAGACCGAAAGTATCCGGGCGGTCAGACCGGGTAGCTCGACGGTCAAACCGGCAGATTCCGGGAGGGAGTCAGTTTCATATTGTTTTCGTAGAATTTCTAGATTGCTTCATGTTTACGACTTCTAGATGGTTTTCTATTCTTATGTGATACTATTGTGTGATGATGTGAGACAAGTTGGTGCAAATTTATACTCGGATATAAAATTTCTTTGTTGTTCATATGCAGGTGTTTCTTGAGTCCATGGGAGTATAGCCGATGATGGATTGGGACTAGGTTTGGTAGAAGTTAAAGGTCCAGACGATCAACGATATCATGCATGATTCTCAAGCTAGAGAACAATGCATGTGGAGGTGAATGTTTTCATATGGTATACATGTGGTGTTGTGTGCGTATGGTTTCCAAAGATGTTTTCTTTTGCTCTACGGATAACTCGTGCTTGTAACAAGAAAAACAAACTTAGTGTATGCATCTTTCTTGCAAGGAGAATAAAAACAAGTGAATTGAATACTCTGCATTACTTTTGTATATTATGTTCTTAAATGTTATCAACTTATCACCTCTCGTTGCATTAGCCACAATTGCCACATCATGAGTAATCTAGTGTGCAAATCATTCCACAGGTCAATATTGTGGATTAAGTTGCCAAATAAGACCCAATCCATCATAAGATTATATTCCATTATAGGTTCTAACATACAGATTGTATATCACTAGATGTGTAGGAATTACAACAACATTGTAAAGTAGGAATTACAACAACATTGTAAGTAATTGTTATTCCCTCAATTAGTAATACATTGGCTGTATATATTTCGATGTATGTATAGTAGAGAAGATCAATAAAGAATAACATGAAACTCTTTCACAACAGAGCCTATAGCCTTCTTTACTGCCTAATTAGATTGTCGATTAGCATAATCACCAACATCGGAGAAGCATGAAGAACATTTCAGTATTGCACTATACTTTGTATCATCCTCTCTCTCTCTCTCTCTCTCTCTCTCTCTCTCTCACAAAGGGAAGAAGCTTTCAGTTGAGGTTGTCCACAGCATGATACATCTGATCAGGGCGCACCTGAAGAACTGCAGGATGCTCTGAACAAAAGAAATAGAATAAAATGAAAGAGTGAATCTTGTAAGGTTCCAAGGATTTTAATAGCATATACATGCAGCAAAGGAAAGAATAATTTTATCCACTTGGGCTAATGAGTAGCACACAAAAAGTTTATTTAGGAACGGGATAACAAGCAAAGAGCAAAAGAAAAGGAGGAAACATGAAAAGAGACCACAAAGTTTGGTTTGCATGCACTTTATTCTTTGCATTGGTGAGCATGATCCCTAACCTCAGTTAAAAGATAAAACCGGGAAAATTTACACGATTACACCCTCAACGAAGTTATACCTTTCTCGGCCTTCTAGGTAAGGTCAAACACTCGGAAGAGTGCAGTGCATCATCAGCAAAGCTGTGAGCCAGAGCCACTACTGAACCAAGCCTAACATTGACCTCGGAATTGCCAAGAGGATCCCCTTGGGCCTTGGCCCTTTCCTCTGACAAAAAAATTAGTCCACTAATCCCAGAAAAACCTCGCCGCAATTAACTATTAACAACTGCGCTTAATTACGTGTGTAGTATAATATGATGAACATGTGAAGACCATCGGGAAGATTTTACTACTAGCGAGAGATGGAGAAGATTCTACTGCAGCCGACATAAAGTTTACTGATCAGTTCATCATAGTTGGGAGGAACAGGAATACAGGATGGATTATACGGAAAGCAGCAAAAACTAATTAACTCACTCTGCAGGGCGGAGAGCTCCGGCGGCGTGAGCTTGGCGGCGAACCCGCTGGCGACCGCCCGGTAGCTGTACAGCAACGCCTCCTTCGCCCTCTCCTCGCTTTTGCAATTGCAGAGAAATTAAGAGAAAAACAGGGTAATTAAAATCACTCGGTGAAAGTTGAAACAGAGCATGCACATCGATCGGTGATGCGATTTTTTTTTTTTTTGCAATTTTTGTCTTTCCGTTATCTTGGGGGTGATTTGGTGCTCGCAGCTAGCTAAGCTAGGCTACCTGCCGAGCGCGGCGGCGAGGATGCACGTGTGGTAGGCGACGGTGTCGGCGCCGTCGGCCGGGGGCTGCACGATGACGATGTACACGCCGGCGGCGCGCTTCTGGCCGTCCTCGCCGCCGCCAGCGGCGACGCCGAGGAGGGCGAGGAGGAGGAGTACGGTGGCGGTCGCGGCGGAGGACGGGTGATTCATCGTTGTCGTTGGTATCCTCGGCCGGAGACGGCGGCGGCGGGCAGCGCAGTGGGTTGTCTGAAACGGTTTCTTGATTTCTTGGTTGCTTGTGGCGGGAAGGAGGATGAGGGAAGCGATGGTTGCTTATATAGCACAGAGAGAGGTTGATATGCTCACTCCAAAATATGGCGCCAATTGTTTGGTATTTGTTTTTATGTGGCTATCAGTTTTAAAAAGTAGTACTAGTGTGCTACCACCCATGGAAAATACGGAATCAGAGTAGTGAACTTCTTTTCGTCTTTTGAAGATTTGAGTGAGCTTATGGCCTTGACTAGATTAATTATAACAACGAATAAGAATGGGTATGCTGTCATTAACTATGTCTGTAGTACTGTCCTTATCGTAGTAGAGTACTAGATATGAATGGAGTGGAGTGAAATATGTGTATGGCCTATAAATCCATTTTATTAAATTCTAGATTAAATTATATTACAGACTTGTCCATCTCAGCTTCAACCCTCTATGTCGATGGGTATTTTGTTTACATTTTTGGTATGCAATATAAATTACTTCCTCTGTTTCAATAAAAATATGAGCATTTCTGAGAGTTTTAATAGAAACTAAGGTTGAGACGAGAAATTGTTGTAATTTATTGAGATAAAGAAGTATAGATGGAGAAAGACTTATTTTGCTGTATAAATTTTGAATCATATAAAATTATATTTTGAAATAAAGAGAGTAGTAAATTAGAATAATTAAAGTTACTTTTCGCTGAAGGGTAAATAAACTTCTATCTCTAGGTCAAGTCCAAAGGTAGTAAATCTACAAAGAGCACGGGCAAAATTTACTGTAACATATCGATCGGTAGCAAAGTGTCCTCCAATACTGGCAATGTGGCATTTCCACCTTTCCAAACATGCGACTAAAAACTGTTTTACGCCGGCATGTGATAATTTAAAGATCCGCTAGTATGATCGCCATCACATATTGGTTGCTTGTTTCATCTGCCTAATTTCGGTGGAAACCAGTGAAAACAGGAGCCTTACACCATTTGTTGCAGTCTGGCTAGATGCACAGATTGGAACCCTAGGAGTCTTCTTTGGCTCTTTTTGCGTGGATAAGCCTCTACTCTACAAGATGAACTCGGACAGTGCAACTTGGTAGTGTTAGCCTGTTAGGCAAGCATGTGCCCAATTATTAGCGAGGCTCATTTCATGATTCAATTTACATGAAAAGAGAAAAGGAAGAGATAAGCCTCTAATAAATTGGGCACATGCTCTAGTTAGTTTTTTTTTTCTTTTTGGGCAGAACAAGATTAGTCACTTGATCATCTCGGTTTGCGAATAGCACTGGTCAATCTCTTGAAAAAAAACGGAGTAGGAGTACCTTAAAATGTTGACTTTCATAGACGAAATAAAAAATTGCACTGATGCAAATCCAATCTCAATACACTATTCTTGGGAAGACACCAAGGTCAGCTCATTCACTCAGTCTCAAACTAATGGCAACTGTCAGATTGAATCTCATTTCGTAGTTTCCTTTTTGGCGTCAAATAAGGTGGGTGAAGATCACACATTGAAAACCAACAGCTGACGACAATTAGAGGTACTTCTCAAAACTGGGGAAAGGCCACCTTACCCAGTTACCCTGCAGTGAGAATGAAATGCCAAACAATTGAAAGTACATGATGTGAGCGCTTAGTTAACCACCTAAAAAGGATAATGAGAACACAAAAACTCGCATATATCTTCATAAAAAAGGAAGAGGCTAACAGAATTTAAATGTCCTGTATAGTTTTTCTTATTCACATTTGAGTACACTATAGCACAGCTTTCAGTATATGAGCGAGGAGCTTTCAATGATAACGTTTCTCCAAATCCAAATAAGGCTTTGTACATCATAAAACCCCCCAAATAAAACGGTATATAACTGGATGCAGCCTTGCCCATGAGAAGCAATTAACTTTCAAACCACTCTCTATAGGGCACACATGTATGTATTACTTTCCAACCAAATACATGTATGTATTACATTCTCAACCAAAAATAATAATATACAAACTGGAACCCATAAGTATTCCCACCTGCGCCGTTTATTTGGATGCCGCCTTTGCCTGATTTGCCGCAACTGACATGGCACGGAGTCGTCCAGCTATCTCTGTGAATGCTGGGCGTTGTGATGGATCTGGGGCCCAGCACTGCTCCATAAGCCTTCTCCACTCTGGATCACATGACGCTGGCACAGGTGGCCTCAATGTGTTGTTTACAATTCCCCCTGCAACCGGAGTTTCAAGATGTCGTATTATAAGTTGCTGGACGAAGAGAACATTTCAAGAACGGGGAGTTCTAGGGTCATCAAAAAGGACTGAATTCAAGGAAGTACAATGCTCCGCAAAAGACTTATTTAGTCATGTTGAATTGTTGAGTACCAGAGCACAATACTGGTGTGACTTGGAATTTAAGACAGCAGGGTTCAGGACTGCCTAATTAGCAAAGGAAGCATGCAAAATTGATTGTTTTATAGAATACTAGTATCATACACTATTTTCTGATTAACTTTATTGCCCAGAAAAGGAAGAAGTTTTTTTAATACTTAAATAGTTTGTGTACTATTTAGCCCACACTAGAAAAGCTAATACAGTTTGCAAAAGATGGGGGAAAATTGTCTTCTTTGTTGTACATAAGGTGACAGGAGCCATAAGCTTGTAGATATGTCAGAATGGAGCCGTGAACAGCTATGAATAGATAGTAGCATAGGTGAATCAAACCTCAAGGAAAAAATATAAATTTGCACAAGCATGGGGTAGGTTCAATGATTCACAGGAGGAGGCGAATATTTAGTTTTCTCAGTAAGGAAAGAAAAACACATGAAATATTCTCATATTAGAACAAACAATTCCTAGAAAATGAGGGATGAATTGCATACCAATAATTGCGCCATAATGCATATTGGCATAGGGTTCTTCTCCAGTAAGTATTTCCCACATAACAATGCCAAAGGAAAATACATCAACCTGTAGACAAATATATGACTGAGTACCCTAAACATAACTCTAAAAATATTGCTATAGTTGAATTAATTGCATATAAATCTGCAACCTGGAATTGTTTTAAGTGCTAGCACATATTGATGATAGAGGATTCATTACCCATAAGGAACATTAAGAACATGGCTAGAAAGAATTGAAGAAAAAAGAAAACCAAGAAAAATGTTTTTACCTTTTCAGACACCTTATTGCTGCTACCATTGAGTAATTCGGGTGCCATCCATGGGAGAGTCCCCCTCACACCACCTGAAACCAGGGTGTTTCTTTTTATTTTGGATAGGCCAAAATCACCAACCTGAACAGTGAACAGAAATCGAGATGATAAATCCACTGAGTGATCAAAAAGCAAAGCAACTATTTAATAAATGGTATAAAACAGTGCTATAACACTAGAAATGAAGTGTGACTCACTTTACATATAGGACGAGATTGATCTTTAAGATTCACCAGCAAGTTATCACACTTCAGATCAAAGTGCACGATATTTTTCGAGTGCAAATACTCCAGCCCAAATGCTGCATCCATTGCTATGATAAGCCGCTTACGACGATCAAGGTACCTGCTCAGTAAGAAAACAAAGCACACTGTTACTCACCCAAAACGAGCAAATTAATTTTCTTTTAAAAAAAAGCACAGGAAGCAGTTACTTGTCCTTGCGCTGCAAGACATGCCGAAGAGAACCATTAACCATGAACTCAGTTACGGTTGCCAAGGTACCACCAGGGCCATCTTTCACAACACCATAGAAGGCCACAACATTTGGATGGTGAAGCTTAGAGAGAATTTCAGCTTCCCGCCAGAATTCATTTGCCTGAAAAAACAACAAAACAGAAAGTAAACAGTGATACTCCAGATATCTTCTAAAGATTATTCAAACAATAGTGGGTGTGGATCATCAACATCGGAGCATAGAAGTACCCTGTTTAGTCTATTGCATGTAGCGATTGTGTGTACTCATGGCATCACCACACAATAACCCAAATCCCTAGTAAGACCAAGTGTCCGTATACAACAAAATTTATACAACCTTTCATCCTCATGCCTTACTGCCATATTAATGCAAACCTAAACAACTGTAATTTATGCACAAAGACGTAGAAGAGCTCACCAGTCTTTCTAGCTCCGAAGATCGTCCTGTAAAGCAGCTTTTCTTTATTCTCTTAATAGCCACATCACTTCCCCTCCATTTTCCATGATACACAGTGCCAAATGTTCCAGAACCAAGTTCCCTAAGTTCTTCAAGGTCTTCATTCTTGATGATCTGTGGATAAAATATTCAACTTCAGAATTCGAACAAGATAATCCAGAAAGAAATTAATCAAATGTGTAGAAGCATTCAATGCAGCCTTGCTAAGAAAAATATTAGCTATTGCAAATAAATCACTCCTTTTGGCCTAATTTACCAAACAACTAACATGAAGATACATTACCAATGCATGCAATGGAGTCCCCAAGTCTACCAACAGAAATGATTTCTAATGGAACAAGATCCAGTGGTATAGGTCAACGTGATTCTAAAAGAACAAAAGAAACAGAAGAAGATGATGATGGCATCCGAACAAATTTAGTGCGGAAAAATGTATCAGCAAGACCTGCACAACCCTGGACTACTGTTCTGAAAGTAGATTATAGAAAAGCAATATCAAATTAAGGGAATCACTAATTTGGATTGCAAACATGTATAATATCAATTATCCAAGTAGTTGAAAGTTATCAACTTGAAACAAAAAGAGACCATATAGCACTGATGCTATCTCAGCATAACCAATTCATGGAATTGACTTGTCAAACCTCAGTCCTGAGGGACTTGGTTTATTCATATTTGGGTAGTCTGTAAGCATTCTGTTAATTAGGTTGGACAAAAGGACTTGCCTATAGATCAGAATAGCATGTAAATCAGGACTGCGATAATCTACTAACCAGTAGCTGAATCAAACAGGGCTTTTTGTGGCAATATTATTTGCGGATTGATGTTTGATTGCGGATTTTGTATGTTTTCTCCTAAAAATGATGTAACTTTTCTAGTTTGAAAAGTATGATATACTTCTATTTGAAGTCTGTTGCAATGCATGGTTACTTGGCTAGTCATAAATGATCACAGATCAAAGATAGGAAGTTC